TAAAAGATTTCCATAATTATCAAACATATTCATAAGATGATTAATATCCCTGTTGAACCAATTCCTTAAAAATAAGGATTGTGGGCGAGAAGCAAATTTTCCAGGCTAAAAGAATTTGGACAATTTCAGAGGGAGTTTAGAAATATTAGCGTGACAATAAGAGAAAGCTCTGTGGACACAGATGCATTGTGGGACACGGCTCCAGCGGGAGTTGGTCAAGCATCGCTAGTTTCGCGTGCGCACACAATAGTCTTGATTCTTTATTTTTTGCAAAGGTCCCTTCAGGGGCTCCGTACAATTGTGCTTGTTTTAAGCAAAAACTCACTTAATTCAGATTTTTTTTAATTATCAGAAAACAAGATATACTTCTTATGTCATTTTACTTCAAGTAAATGCTTCTTAGTTTAAGAATTTTTAGATATGTAGAAACAAGACAAAAATCCTGCATAAGAGAAGCATATCTTGCAGTGTAATATGAAACCTAGCATTATCTGTGTGTTATTAGCAGAAGTACCTGATACATGTCTCCTGACGCGCTATTGCTCACGCGCTCGCTAGGGATCAGATTCTTCCGGTCCGAGGCTGGAGACACACAGATGATAGAGAGGATCAGTGTGTGTGTGTGTGTGTGTGTGTGTGTGTGTGTGTGTGTGTGTGTGCCTCACCTTTGCTGTCCTGGTAGCTGGCCCTGGTGGAGGGTTGAGCACACACGGTGTAAACGGCCCATCCGATGAGAGCCGTGACGAGGACATCGCTCACCAGAACCGTGATCACAGCCGACATGTCCAACTGGATCAGATTGTCTCCGCCTGCACACACACACACAACAAAATCTCACAAATAAAGCTTCTTTACTGGCCTAGATGGTCCATGAAGAACTTTTATTCCACACAAGGATCTTCGGGTGTAATCTACTGAACGCTTCTAGAGAGAGAGGGAAAGGAAAGCCCTTTTGACTGCTCTATAGTGGTGTGGAAGACTGTTAACCGCTACAGTGAACCCTAGACTCTGGAGTCTCCAGGAGTAGCAGTATTACAGCCAGTTCTCAATCGGAGGAGACTAAGCTTTCATGTAATGTCACTGCAGAAACGGTTCAATGTTTCTGGAAGAGAAAATAACATCGTCTCATAATTTACAGTGAAAAGCCACAAACTGACAATTCCCACAGAGAGTCAGCTTTGATTGTGTGTGTGTGTGTGTGTGTGTGTGTACAGTGATACTGGTCATTATAGGACAGATTGAGGATAATAGCCCCAGATTCTGCTCTATTTCTCTACATTAAAGCAAATATTAAGAGTTTCTCACACTGTTCATTCCACACCTGTTCACTCAGATGAAAGCACACACACACACACACACACACACACACACACACACACACACACACACAGGTTTTACTCACTCAGGATCTTCACTACAGCTTTAGAACAGTCTTCTTCTTCTCCGTTCTCGTGTGAGCAGCACTTGAAGGTTCCCGAGGCGGCGTCATCCGTCAGCGGCTGCGGCTCAAAGTCTCCAGTTCTGCACATCAGACTCATGTTCTTCTCGATGTAGAGCCGTGGCAGAGCAGGAGCTGCAGGATCTGCAGAGCGCACCGTTAAACCTCTGTCACTGTGAACCAGTGAATATGTCCAGCTGAAGTCGAGTCTTACCCTGCGATGTGACTGATCCCAGAGCTGTCAGCACACAGAACAGCCAGAACAAGCGGCGCTCCATCCTCAGTGTGTGTGTGTGTGTGTGTGTTTATGATTATTCTTATGATTCTCTCCCCTGCGCATAAACAGAGAAGCTCAGAGTTCACTGTCCTCCATCTCGAGCTCACACACACACTCGAGCTCACACACTCGAGCTCACACACACACACACTCGACATACACACACACACACAGACCTGCACACACACACACACACAGACCTGCACACACACACACACACACACACACACACTCGAGCTCACACACTCGAGCTCACACACACACACACCTGCACACACACACACAGACATGCACACACACTCGAGCTCACACACAGACCTGCACACACACTCGACACACACACACAGACATGCACACACACTCGACACACACACACACACACACACAGACCTGCACACACACTCGAGACACACACACACACTCGACACACACACACACACACACACAAACACACAGACCTGCACACACACTCGACACACACACACAGACCTGCACACACACTTGAGCTCACACACACTTGAGCTCACACACACACACACACACACACACACACACACACACACACACACACACACACACACACACACACACACACACACACACTTGAGCTCACACACACACACACACACACTTGAGCTCACACACACACACACACACACAGACCTGCACACACACTCGACACACACACACACAAACACACACACTCGACACACACACACACACACACAGAACTGACTATGAGGAAAAACTTTCTGATTCAGTAAAACGTTTGATAAAACCTTACAGTTATTCATATTTGTTCAAATGCCATAATGGATCATTTAAACTTACAACATTTATTAATTCTGGTTAAAACATTCCAAGTTGTAAAATTATAGTTTTATGAACGACCATGAATAAACAATGAAATGAACCATATCATATAACGGATAATGCATTAACTAACAACGAGCATTACGTTTGTCACAGTATTTATTTATCTTTCTAAAAGTTAACTAATAAAATACAACTGGTCATTGTTAGTTCATGTCAGCTCAGATCCAATACATGTATAATATATATTAATCTATAATAATAACAATAATGTATTAGTAAATGTTCTAACATTTGCTAAGATTAATAAACACTGTAAAAGCATTTTTCATACAGTTAACTAATGTTTACAAATCAAACCTTATTGTAAAGCGTTACAGCAAAATTATAATAAAAAAGTGTATATATAGGTGCATCTCTAACAAGATATATTATATTAATATCACATTACAGTTACAATCCAACTATAGTTCAAAAATCAAATCCCTCCGTATATAAAACAATTTAAATACGCTTTTCACTAACACTTTATTTTAAGCTGATCCATTAATTTACTTTATTAAATACAGTAAATTATGCATAATTAACCCGAAACCAAAGCGTAACTCTATAGTAAGTACATGGTTTATTAATATTACTCAGTACTTATTTGAGTAAGTACAATCAAACTTAAAGTCACCTTAAAATAAAGGGTCATGTTACAGTGCAATTATATATTTAAGTGCTGAGTAATATTAATAGACGATGTACTTACCATGTGTGTAATTATGCATAATTAACTGTTATTGCTTTAGTAAGTACATGAAACAAATGCGACAAGGAGACTGTAAAATAAAGTGTTACCAAATAAACTGTAACCTGCTGGTTTATATTAATAATGTCGGTTACACTTTACTTTAAGGTGTCATTGTATATTTAAGTACTGAGTAATCATAATTAACAACGTGTACTAATGCCGCGTTCCAGGCAACCTGTAACCCGTGTTTTTCCAACTCGTAACTGGGAGTACATCGTTCCAGGCAACCTGTAACCCGTGTTTTTCCAACCTTATACCCGTGAAAGTGCACTGGAACGGCAGTCAAACCCGTGACTTCCCACCCGTGAATTCGTACTAGATCGATGTACTCCCAGTTACGAGTTGAAAAAACACGGGTTACAGGTTGCCTGGAACGCGGCATTACTATAGGCTTAGGGGCTGGATTAGGTTGAGGGTTAGTTGCATGTAATTATGCATAATTGGTAAGTACATGTAACATATGTAACAAGGAGACTGTAAAATGAAGTGTTACCGTAGTTTCTGTTAAATGTAGCTCGAGTGAAGGATGAAGTTTACACAGAAGCTCCGGATCCTGGTGTGAGTCTGAAGACTGACATCAACCGGAAGCCAGAACACGATCCGGGCCTGAACTTCATCCAGCGCTCGGCGTCACGTCGACTGACACAAGCTCGACGCCTCAGGACACACACACACACACACACACACACGTGACAGCCGTTACGCCCGTCCTGTGGATTATGGCTCATGTGTGTGTTTATAGATGTTTTTGTGCACTTACACACAGTCTGACATCAATAAGAGCAAAACCTGCAGATGAAAGATCGACTTCCGGCGCCGTAAACTGAAGACCACAAACACCTGCGAACATCCTTCAAAACACACACACACACACACACACACACACACACACACACACACACACACACACACACACACACACACACACACACACACACACACACACACACACACACTTCATTCCACACACAACATTATTACACTAATCACGTATGATGTGTTATTCTCTATAGACTTTATTGAGGTAGGCCTATTTCTCACAATAATAATACAGCAACTTTCACAAGCAAGAGAAGGACAATCACACTGGAAAAAGAATAAACTAGCACGAGTCAAGCTCAGGTAAAGTTAAACCAGTGGCGCCTCCTGCTGGATCAGACTCAGAATGAGCTTTACAAATATACACTACATATGATTTCAATAATCTTTATACTTCTATTCATCTAAATACATACAAGTATCTCACAATATCTGCATATTTACTGAACATTCCTTTAAATTACACAAATATGATGTAGCATTCCGTATAGCAGCAATGAACTCTGGGTAAATACTGATAAGAGCACATATTTACAGTCCATTCATTTTAAATGAACTACTGATCCCATGAATCTCTGTCACTGAATCAGTCTTGTTCAAGTGTTCTCTCTGATTGTATGAGAGAATCGTCACCAGCTATACAATTAACTAATGTTAGTTTGCTGATACCTAGCAAGTCTGTGGGGGAAAGTCCCCGTTTCCATAGTAGCAGTGTTTTCTCTGCTCAGTGCATTATGGGTAGTGTAGTTCTTCACCAGGACAAAGCAGTCTGTCACTCAAACTCTTGAGCTGCAGTCAAAGTTTGTCAGTAAATCTGTGTTGAGTTATAAGAATGCTGAAACCGAACCCCGTTCTGCCTGCTGTCAGGGTTCAGGTGGATCAGGCCTCGTGAGGTCAGAGGTCAGAGTGTGCAGAGTGTGCAGATGTTCATAGCCAGATCTCGTCACTGCTGGTGCTGCTCACTTTATAGATGTATCCCACCATCGGATAGCGAGCGAAACCTGTCGGGACACAATCATTCACATCTATTAGACTCAGTGAGGAACACTTGATCTCTCGTTATTGGTTCTTGATATCAGGGTTCTTTAAAGGGACAGTTCACCCAAAAATGTATAATTTAATTTAGGCTTCTATTCACATATAAACATTGATCAGCTCATCAAATATGGTAAACAAGCTGAAGAACCAATCAGGTTTGTTCATGTGAGTCAAGAAAGCTTCTGTTTATGTTCACTAAACAAAGTTAACATGGGAATAAAAGCCTAAACTAAACCGTGTCTCTTCGGAAGACTTGGATCTAAAGCGCTCTATTCTTATGGGTTTCCATCTCTTTATGTCAAAGTTTTGGGTGAATAGGGACAGAAATCTCTCAGATGTCATTATAATCATCTAAATTTGCGTTCAGAAGATGAATGAAAGTCATGGGTTTGGAAATGATGTCGGGATTTACATTGTTGGGTGAACTGTCCCTTTAAGGTCATGACCTCTGACCTCGGGCAGCGTAGGCCGCAGACAGATCCTCCTCTTCCTCGTCAGTGCGTCTTCTCTCCAGTGTGTTCGGTCTGGAGATCTTCTGCCCTGAAACACGCAGCTTGAGACAGGTGATGTTTTAGAGACTCACATTAGATAGGTTTCACCTATTTTAAGCAAATTTAGTAAGATTGCATAAAAATACTCCATTTATAAATTCTATAAAACACTCATGCACTCAATCGGGGAGGATCATTGTTTTATCTGATAAGATAATGTATATAATCTATGACGGAAACCAATTTACTGTATAAATCCCTCAAACCTCATGTGACTTTGGCTCAGCAGAGGCTGTGATTGGATAACTGGAGTAACCAGCGGACCAATGGCATCGCAGCATCTCAAATATTGGTTTGGTGGTTCTGAACACCTGAGTCAAAGTCTGTCATCAGAATGATTTAGTTTCATCACTGGATACTAACAGAGCAACTGATAATCTTTTCTCCACTCTAACAACTTCTGCCCCCTTTTATCCTGCGAGCATCATTCTCAACACTGACCTTGGTTCGTATCAATCCCTCCTCTCTTTCTTCTCTGCTAATGTCTCTACTGCTAAAATTACTTACTATCACAACAAAATAAACAATTCTTCTGACTCTCGCATGCCTTTCAAAACTTTCTCCCCAGACAGCAACTTAGTGTCAGCCCAGATCCGGCCAGAATCCGGTACACCTGGATTCCACACTGCTCAGACGCAGGCCGGATCTGGGCCGACACTAAGTTGCTGTCTGGGTCCTCTCTTCTTAACACTACTCCTCCTTCAGCAACCCTAACACCTGACACTGTTGCCACATTCTTCATAAATAAAACCACCACCATCAGTGGCAGTCTCTCCGCTCTCGGAGGCAGAAGTCTCTAAACTCATCCTTTCCAATCACCTACAACCTGTCTGCTCGATCCTATTCCCACCCATCTGCTTCAGGCCATTTCTTCCTCAGTTGTACCCGCATTCACTCATATCATCAACACCTCTCTTCACACTGGTCTCTTTCCCACAGCTTTTAAGCAGGTTCAGGCCTACTATAAGCATTACTGTAAAAATTACAGACCAGTATCCCTTCTTCCATTCGTTGCGAAAACACTTGAACGAGTTGTTTTCAACCAAGTCTCTAACTTTCTTACACAGAACAACCTCATGGACAACAACCAGTCTAGTTTCAGAAGCATCACTCAACTGAGACTGCCCTGCTCTCGGTTACTGAAGCTCTGAGACTTAAGAGCAGCTTCCCAATCCTCAGTTCTCATCTTGCTGGATCTGCTGTGTTTGACAGTTAATCATCAGATCGTCAACCCTCATGATGAAGATCATCTCAGGAACCGCACTCCAAGGGGTGAGGTGTCAACATCTAGCTACTGGAGTGCCTCAGGGCTCAGTGCTGGGACCGATTCTCTTCTCCATCTACATGTCATCACTAGGATCTGTCACTCAGAAACATGGTTTCTCCCATCACTGTTATCATCTAGATACTGGAGTGCCTCAGGGCTCAGTGCTGGGACCGCTTCTCTTCTCCATCTACATGTCATCACTAGGATCTGTCATTCAGAAACATGGTTTATCCCATCACTGTTATCATCTAGCTACTGGAGTGCCTCAGGGCTCAGTGCTGGGACCGCTTCTCTTCTCCATCTACATGTCATCACTAGGATCTGTCACTCAGAAACATGGTTTATCCCATCACTGTTATCATCTAGCTACTGGAGTGCCTCAGGGCTCAGTGCTGGGACCGCTTCTCTTCTCCATCTACATGTCATCACTAGGATCTGTCACTCAGAAACATGTTTTTTTCCCATCACTGTTATCATCTAGCTACTGGAGTGCCTCAGGGCTCAGTGCTGGGACCGCTTCTCTTCTCCATCTACATGTCATCACTAGGATCTGTCATTCAGAAACATGGTTTATCCCATCACTGTTATCATCTAGCTACTGGAGTGCCTCAGGGCTCAGTGCTGGGACCGCTTCTCTTCTCCATCTACATGTCATCACTAGGATCTGTCACTCAGAAACATGGTTTATCCCATCACTGTTATCATCTAGCTACTGGAGTGCCTCAGGGCTCAGTGCTGGGACCGCTTCTCTTCTCCATCTACATGTCATCACTAGGATCTGTCACTCAGAAACATGTTTTTTTTCCCATCACTGTTATCATCTAGCTACTGGAGTGCCTCAGGGCTCAGTGCTGGGGCCGCTTCTCTTCTCCATCTACATGTCATCACTAGGATCTGTCACTCAGAAACATGTTTTTTTCCCATCACTGTTATCATCTAGCTACTGGAGTGCCTCAGGGCTCAGTGCTGGGACCGCTTCTCTTCTCCATCTGCATGTCATCAGTCGCATCTGTCATTCAGAAACATGGTTTCTCCCATCACTGTTATCATCTAGCTACTGGAGTGCCTCAGGGCTCAGTGCTGGGGCCGCTTCTCTTCTCCATCTACATGTCATCACTAGGATCTGTCACTCAGAAACATGTTTTATCCCATCACTGTTATCATCTAGATACTGGAGTGCCTCAGGGCTCAGTGCTGGGACCGCTTCTCTTCTCCATCTACATGTCATCACTAGGATCTGTCATTCAGAAACATGGTTTATCCCATCACTGTTATCATCTAGCTACTGGAGTGCCTCAGGGCTCAGTGCTGGGACCGCTTCTCTTCTCCATCTACATGTCATCACTAGGATCTGTCATTCAGAAACATGTTTATCCCATCACTGTTATCATCTAGCTACTGGAGTGCCTCAGGGCTCAGTGCTGGGACCGCTTCTCTTCTCCATCTACATGTCATCACTAGGATCTGTCACTCAGAAACATGTTTTTTTCCCATCACTGTTATCATCTAGCTACTGGAGTGCCTCAGGGCTCAGTGCTGGGACCGCTTCTCTTCTCCATCTACATGTCATCACTAGGATCTGTCACTCAGAAACATGGTTTATCCCATCACTGTTATCATCTAGCTACTGGAGTGCCTCAGGGCTCAGTGCTGGGGCCGCTTCTCTTCTCCATCTACATGTCATCACTAGGGTATGTCATTCAGAAACATGTTTTTTTCCCATCACTGTTATCATCTAGCTACTGGAGTGCCTCAGGGCTCAGTGCTGGGACCGCTTCTCTTCTCCATCTACATGTCATCACTAGGATCTGCCATTCAGAAACATGGTTTATCCCATCACTGTTATCATCTAGCTACTGGAGTGCCTCAGGGCTCAGTGCTGGGGCCGCTTCTCTTCTCCATCTACATGTCATCACTAGGATCTGTCATTCAGAAACATGGTTTATCCCATCACTGTTATCATCTAGCTACTGGAGTGCCTCAGGGCTCAGTGCTGGGACCGCTTCTCTTCTCCATCTACATGTCATCACTAGGATCTGTCATTCAGAAACATGGTTTATCCCATCACTGTTATCATCTAGCTACTGGAGTGCCTCAGGGCTCAGTGCTGGGGCCGCTTCTCTTCTCCATCTACATGTCATCACTAGGATCTGTCACTCAGAAACATGTTTTATCCCATCACTGTTATCATCTAGATACTGGAGTGCCTCAGGGCTCAGTGCTGGGACCGCTTCTCTTCTCCATCTACATGTCATCACTAGGATCTGTCATTCAGAAACATGGTTTATCCCATCACTGTTATCATCTAGCTACTGGAGTGCCTCAGGGCTCAGTGCTGGGACCGCTTCTCTTCTCCATCTACATGTCATCACTAGGATCTGTCACTCAGAAACATGGTTTATCCCATCACTGTTATCATCTAGCTACTGGAGTGCCTCAGGGCTCAGTGCTGGGACCGCTTCTCTTCTCCATCTACATGTCATCACTAGGATCTGTCACTCAGAAACATGTTTTTTTCCCATCACTGTTATCATCTAGCTACTGGAGTGCCTCAGGGCTCAGTGCTGGGACCGCTTCTCTTCTCCATCTACATGTCATCACTAGGATCTGTCACTCAGAAACATGTTTTTTTTCCCATCACTGTTATCATCTAGCTACTGGAGTGCCTCAGGGCTCAGTGCTGGGGCCGCTTCTCTTCTCCATCTACATGTCATCACTAGGGTCTGTCATTCAGAAACATGTTTTTTTCCCATCACTGTTATCATCTAGCTACTGGAGTGCCTCAGGGCTCAGTGCTGGGACCGCTTCTCTTCTCCATCTACATGTCATCACTAGGATCTGTCATTCAGAAACATGGTTTTTCCCATCACTGTTATCATCTAGCTACTGGAGTGCCTCAGGGCTCAGTGCTGGGGCCGCTTCTCTTCTCCATCTACATGTCATCACTAGGGTCTGTCATTCAGAAACATGTTTTTTTCCCATCACTGTTATTATCTAGCTACTGGAGTGCCTCAGGGCTCAGTGCTGGGACCGCTTCTCTTCTCCATCTACATGTCATCACTAGTGTCTGTCATTCAGAAACATGGTTCATCCCATCACTGTTATCATCTAGCTACTGGAGTGCCTCAGGGCTCAGTGCTGGGACCGCTTCTCTTCTCCATCTACATGTCATCACTAGGATCTGTCATTCAGAAACATGGTTTCTCCCATCACTGTTATCATCTAGCTACTGGAGTGCCTCAGGGCTCAGTGCTGGGGCCGCTTCTCTTCTCCATCTACATGTCATCACTAGGATCTGTCATTCAGAAACATGGTTTATCCCATCACTGTTATCATCTAGCTACTGGAGTGCCTCAGGGCTCAGTGCTGGGTCCACTTCTCTTCTCCATCTACATGTCATCACTAGGATCTGTCATTCAGAAACATGGTTTATCCCATCACTGTTATCATCTAGCTACTGGAGTGCCTCAGGGCTCAGTGCTGGGGCCGCTTCTCTTCTCCATCTACATGTCATCACTAGGATCTGTCACTCAGAAACATGTTTTTTCCCATCACTGTTATCATCTAGCTACTGGAGTGCCTCAGGGCTCAGTGCTGGGACCGCTTCTCTTCTCCATCTACATGTCATCACTAGTGTCTGTCACTCAGAAACATGTTTTTTCCCATCACTGTTATCATCTAGCTACTGGAGTGCCTCAGGGCTCAGTGCTGGGACCGCTTCTCTTCTCCATCTACATGTCATCACTAGTGTCTGTCATTCAGAAACATGGTTTATCCCATCACTGTTATCATCTAGCTACTGGAGTGCCTCAGGGCTCAGTGCTGGGACCGCTTCTCTTCTCCATCTACATGTCATCACTAGGATCTGTCACTCAGAAACGTGGTTTATCCTATCACTGTGACACTGATGACACACAACTCTACCTCTCATTCCAGCCAGAGGATCCGATGATAACTGCTCACATCTCAGCCTGCTTGACAGACATAATTGCTTGTGGGCCCAGTTAAAGGAGAACTCCGGCGCAAAATGAACCTTTGGTCTAATTACACATTGTTACCTAGTCAACCGTTATCTGAGATTTGTTTTCATGATTATCGAATGTAAATAGTTTTATCTCTACAAACAGTTTAGCCTATAAAGCTAGTATAACGCTAGTATATTGGGCATAGTGTAATGACAAATAAAAATCGCTTGTTAATACCACTAACAAGGCTGAAAATAGCCCCACACTAACACGGTAGCAAAATGAGGGTCCCTACCTTCAAACCGAAGCATTGGGAACTTTGTCAGTGTCCAGACAGTTTAATAAGAAGATATTTAATACATACAGTCAACTTCGCGTATACAGACAGAAGCCATCTTTGAAATACAGTCTTTACCAGTCGATCTACGAACGCCGATCCAAGTGCGCTGGTGAGAATGTGAACGAGCTATAAGTTGTGATAAGGTGAGCGCGAACAGCAGACTTGGATCGGCGTTCGTAGATCGACTGGTAGAGACTGTATTTCAAAGATGGCTCCTGCCTGTATACGCGAAGTTGACTGTATGTTTAAAATATCTTCTTATTAAACTGTCTGGACACTGACAAAGTTCTCAATGCTTCGGTTTGAAGGTAGGGACCCTCATTATGCTACCGTGTTAGTGTGGGGCTATTTTGAGCCTTGTTAGTGGTATTAACAAGCGATTTTTATTTGTCATTACACTATGCCCAATATACTAGCGTTATACTAGCTTTATAGGCTAAACTGTTTGTAGAGATAAAACTATTTACATTCGATAATCATGAAAACAAATCTCAGATAACGGTTGACTAGGTAACAATGTGTAATTAGACCAAAGGTTGATTTTGCGCCGGAGTTCTCCTTTAACCCAACACTACACCACAACTTCTCCATACAGCTAGGTTCGTCAACCATAACTCCATACAGGACACCCAGGATCCTTGGAGTTGAGATTGATGATCAGTTGAACTGCACATTGCTAAAACTGCTGTGTCCTGCAGATTTGCTTTTTTACAAAATCAGGAGGATCAGACCCTTCCTATCAGAGCTACACCACTCGTGGTCCAAGATCTTGTTCTATCCAGACTGGACTATTGTAATGCTCTCTCCTTCATCAGTCAAACCTCTGCAACTGATCCAGATGCTGCAGCGAGAGTGTGTTTATCGAGCTGGAGAGTCACACGTCACTCCTCTCCTCATAAACCTGCACTGGTTGCCAGTTGCCGCTCGCATAAATTTAAGGCACTGATGTTTTCCTACAGAACAACCACTGGCTCTGCTCCCTTTTACCTAAACTCACTACTTCAGACCGATGTGTCTCCGAACGCAAGAGAACATGACAGCGTTTATTGTGTTTCGTCTGAGACTCCGAGACAAACTCATTGATGATGGAGGGAAAAAGAGCCAGATTGCAGAAAGGTACATTTTTATTAGTAGTAGTAGTAGTACTTTATTGATCCCAGTTGGGAAATTAAAGTGCATATTACTGATATTTTGCACCAGGAAGGGAGGATTTTGTTCTCTTGAACACATGGGATGGAAACGCTGCTTTATTCGCAAATGTTATCTGCCATTTTCCAGTTAGATCGGCAGCTCTGGACGGAATCCGGACTCACCCTTACAGAGCGTGCGGTCGTCGTTCAGCTGCACGTGTGACGGTAAAGACATGTTCTCTCTGGGGAGATAAAAACCGTTCACCTGAATCTTCACCATGTCGTTACTGCAACCAACAAACAACAGAACAGTCACGAGATCAATCGTTCAATAATGTTATCATTAGCAGAGAATGCTGGGAGACGTGTCGCACCGTTTGGAGGACAGATGCACTGCGACGGGCTCTTCTGAGAAACAACACAGAAAGAAGCATTTATGAACACATGAATACATACACATGCATGCTTTTATCTGCAGTGTTTTGGCGTTTAGTCTCTGTACCGATGGCTTTGGTTTTGTCCTTCTGTAGGAGGAAGAAGACCATCAAGGTGAAGATGAGGAGGGTGATGATGCCGGCGACACCACCCGTCACTATCCCGAACATCGGCACCTCCACTCGTGACTGCAGGAAATCTGGAGGAACGGGACATAAAAAAATACACACACCAGCATTTACATGTTTATACACCACCGGTCGGTGAGATGTTTCTGAAAGAGTCTTTTCTGCTGCATTTATTTATATTCAAAAATACAGTAAAAACAATGAAATATTACTCCAGTGTAAATCAGCTGTTTTCTATGTGAATATACAGTAAAGTGTAATTTATTCCTGTGATCAAAGCTGAATTTCAACATCATTACTCCAGTCTTCAGTGTCACATGATCCTTCAGAAATCACTCTAATATGAGGATCTGATGCTCAAGACACATTTATGATTATTATCAGAGTTGAAAACAGTCGTGCTGCTTCAGATTTTGAATGACGTATCGTCTCACCTGTGAGCGTGAGGTTGCTGTGGGCGGAGCCAAGGCTGTTGTTGGCGTTGACCGAGATGTTTCCTGATAGGCTGCTCAGAGTGACCTGCAGGCTGTGATTGGCCAGCCACGGGTGGCTCCGTGAGTCCAGGATGAGGAAGTCGGAGCTGTTGGCCAGCAGCTGACCGGACCGATCCACCCAGGTGATGGTGGCGGGGGGGTTGGACCGAACCAAAGCGAAGAGGATGAGGGAGAGGCCGGGGTCCGCGGTCTCGCTGTAGTGGGCGTCCACGCGCAAGATCTCCGGCTGGACTGAGACACGAGGAACCAAACACACACGAGGTTAGTTCATGCTTTTAAAGCCATGGCCTTTCTATCGCCATCTGTGGTTGAAACACTCGTGAAGTCATTATCTTATGTCAAATATCTGACCAACAGAACAAAAGTTAAATGAATATTATTCGTATTATTATTAATAATACGCAATGCTCGCGACGGAACGCCAAAATGGCACTTACACTAAAATGGCTGTAACTCTTGAACTCAATGAGATATTCTCACCAAACTTGTTATCCTCATGTACAAGCTCATTCTGTGGTCGCGCAAAAAACTCTGTGGTGATTTACCACTTGGTGGTGCTATAATACAAAAACAAACAAACATAAAAACAGTTGTAACTATGCAACCATTAGTCCGATTTGACTAGAAAATTGGCATGCAGTGTCTTTGTCCACGCTGCCATGATGAGATTCCTGTATCACGAAAAGCATGGCTGCCTTCGGCTAATGAAGTTGGCGCACCTCTTAGACCAGGATAATAGTGGCCGATCGGAATGAAACTTGGTGGGTACGTTTGACTCATGGTCCTAGAGGTCTGTGCGAAGTTTGAAAGACAATGGCCACCGGGTGGTGCTATTTTGCTTTACACCCTATATATTATGCAACGTACTCACTAATATAGTTCTTTTCACTGGTTTTGCTTTTGAATTAATTTTTAGACATTTTTAAATCACTATTATAACTCACTCACATTTTGTTTACAAGTTTATCACTTAATTTTTCCTTAGGTATCAGTTTTGACAATTGTGCCACATTATGATTAATGTGAAACTTGAAGAGGGGTCCCCTAGACCCTAACCCCTAGACCCTAACCCCTAGACCCTAACCCCTAACCCCTATACCCTAACCCCTAGACCCTAACCCCTAACCCCTATACCCTAACCCCTAGACCTTAACCCCTAACCCCTAGACCCTAAAGCCTTAAAACGCTTGAACCCCGTTAATTGCTGCTTGCAGCTTTATTTAATACTATAATTTATATTAATTTATCAAATATAATTATTATTCATGTTACGTCAGATATCCGACCCGACAGATCAAAATTTAAATTAATATTATGAATCTATTTTAATTTTTCATGTTATAGTTTATATTATTATATAACATTATTATATTGATTAATATTTGAACAGTTTTTTATAAACTTGATGTATTTTCTTGGATTTTTAAGCAGAAACTGCAGCTTTATCCCAGGAGCGTGCCAGACTCACACTGGACGTTGAGCGTGACGGTGGCGTTGTAACTCTCTCCTCCGGCAGGGTTTCGCGCCGCACACACCAGCTCTCGGTCCCAGCGTTTGGGTTTGAGTGTGAATGTGCTGTTGCGCTCGGACCCGTATCTAAGCACTCCGGATTCCCCCGGTGATGTCATAACCAGACGCCCCGCCCCCCGGCTGCCCGTCACCTCGCTCTGCCTCTCCCCGTTCAGGTACCAGGTCAGCAGGGGCGGGGCTTGAGGATTCCAGCCCTCTGATTGGCAGTTGAAGTGGTGAGTGAAGTTCTCCTGTACCGTGACTGACGAGGTCTGCTGTCCGTCAATTTTGGGGGCGGGGTCAATTGCTGCTGGCAGAGAGGAGAATAAAGTCAAGAGCAATACTGAAATAAAAACATTGAAACGTGAACATCTTACCTGTGCTGGCCCAGATCATGGTGTGAAAGAATAAAGAAGAGAGAAGCGTCCTCATAGTCACCTACACACACACACACACACAAGAAAAAAACAAGAGAGTCTCAACCAGATGCACAAAACTACAATAATAAACAAACTAGAATTGTCCAGTTGCGCATGAACTGCTGAAGTGTGTGTCGTTCAGACCGATTTGAGTGTGTGATTGAAATGCATCAGTCAACAAATGAAAACAATCTGTGTTTTTCAGTGTGATGTTGACATGCAGAATCTGCATCTTTTAGCTGCAGGAGACACACACACACACACACACACTCATGCAGCAGCATCACACACACTGATACTGTACAAATGAGGCACATGACAGTTATGATACACACACACACTCAGAGTGTTTTACCTCTGGGCACAGAGACGCTGCTGATTCCGACCGGCTGTGGATCCATTCAGAATGCAAACACACACACACACACACACACACTCACGCAGGAGCGTCACACACACACTGACGCAGCACGCATGGGGGGGGGGGGGGGGGTGGGGGGTTGCTGTGATTCATTACTGATTTAAAACACTGAGAGTAGGAGGCAGCAGACGAGTGTTCACTGACTCGTGTGTGTGTGTGTGTGTGTGTGTTTAGCTGAACCTCCTCCAACCAGACGCAGGATAACCCCGGTCAGATCTGAGCTCGACTATCAGGTCTGCTCAGCCTCTGCAGTGCAGAATCACATTCAGACATCAGCAGCTGCACACAGAACACATGATGATGAATAAAACATCAGGCAGCATTTGTTCATTTAGCAGACGCTTTTATCCAAAGGAATACAACAAGCGATTCTTGTTAAAGAGGCAATAAACACGATAACTGCGAGAAGTTTCAATAGTTCAAGCAAGAACAGCGAGGGATTGAGAAACAGTGAACGCATAGGAGAATGAAGCAGTAGAGCTTGCAGAAGAGAAGAGTTTTCAGGGATTCTGTCTGGATCGGTTTGGGAAGATCATTCGTGTGAAACAGTGAATGAGAGGGTTCTGGAAAGTGATTTTACGCCGTTCCGGGGTGGTACCATTTGAAGAGGTTTGATTGCACATAGATAGATAGAGTCTTTATTGTCCCATAGGGATAATCATTTTCATAGTCCTGTAATCACATGTTGGAAGTAGTTCCAGAAGTAGTCCTGTAATCTGTTTGAGATCGAATTAATGCTAGATGTGTTAGGGTACAGCATCACAGAGGAGTGTGTGTGAGCGACAGCATCGCAGAGGAGTGTGTGTGTGAGCGACAGCATCGCAGAGGTGTGTGTGTGAGCGATGCTGTCTGCGAATGTTTGTTGGAATGATGGTTTCGGGAAACACCGACTCGTTGAACTGATGATAACGACGGAACTTGCGATCATAGTTGTTAACGATGCTTTTAGGAAACACACCCCTGGATGGTAAAGCCGTACTGACGGGGAGGCTGGGAAGCCGAGAATGGTTGAGCTGTACGGGATGTTCTTCCATCCATGCCGAGATCCGTGATGCTACCGTGGGATCGTCTGTTTGAAATGAAAAGTAGAACAGTGTGTCATCAGCATAGCAATGGTAGGAGAACCCATGTGCCCGTGTAATGGGTCCCAAAGATGTAGTGTATATGGAAAACAGGAGAGGTCCCAGGACTGAACCCTGGGGTACCCCGGGGGCGAGGCGTTGCAGACCTGTGAGGTAAGACTCAAACCAGCGAGGGTTGTTCCAGGGATGGGAGAGTGGACAGAAGGATCGGATGTTGAACAGCATCGGAGATGGCAGATAGTCTAGCAGAATGAGCACTGAAGATTTGGGATCAGATTGAACCTAGATCACTAGGAATAGGAAGACAGAGACCGGTCTGAAAGGTTTCGTCTGCATGAAACCGGAAGAGGGGTTGGTGTTACGGAAGGAAGTTTAATTACTCAAAGTGATAAAGTTGCGTGAATAGATGATCGAAAGAGGCTTGGAGAAAGTGTACATCTGCAAGAAAGCGGATGTTGGAGGTGCCGCAGACTCAGGGAATGAGGACAGAAGAGTTGTCCCAAACACTGATCGCTTCAGGGGTACAAAAACAATCACTGCATCGAAACAAACCGTTTTATCTTCTAACTTCAGAATTAGTCCTTAGATGAAGGTTATAACGATAACATTAGTAACGTGGTACTTGTTAATACCTGTTATCGTTAGCAGATGCTAACAGATGTGTCAGTGCTAGCATTTACTTGTTTCGATAGCACTATATACACTACAGATTGTTTCAAAGCACCTTCCCAGTAATACAACATGAAAATACCAGTGTTAATGCTGTAAAAGTCATCAACTTCAAAAGCAGCTCTACGGAAGACAATAGTGTCATTATTCAGCTCAATTTTGATTCACTTCAGTTCAATAAGAGTCAATGTTGCAAAGTTCGTCAATTATTGATGACTTCAAATAGCAGCTGGACAAAAGCTCAAAGTTGTGCATTGTAAAATATGTGTCATCTGTTCATAACACAAGCACACATTGATAAAGGGCTTCAGCTGGCATTAGTGTAAAGCTCTCTTTCAGGTCCTGTGCCGTCATATTGAAGAGAATCACATCTGTGGAGATTGCAACACGCTGACGGTGTTTCCATCTGGATCTTCAGTACCGCATACACACTCTCAAAGAACACAGCACACACACTTATGTCATAGTCATTTCTTTATTTATATATATTTATTATTTCTCTCAGTTTTGTTTGGAATTCTTTTTAACCATTGCTGTTGCACTTTAGTATTTTTTCCAAAAACATAAAGCCAAAAAAAAGAGAGAAGAAACTGACAGATCTAGAAAGGAAAATAGGGCGGAGCATAACATGATTGACAGATGGAGGATGAGGAGGATCATGGTTCTCTTCATCACCATCGACACAAACTCGCACACAGACGGGTGATTGTCTGATAAACACACGGCTGTCTCGCCTCAGATGATCATGTGACCGTTATTGGTTTGGTCAGACCGAAGACGAAACGGCAGCAGAAATCGTTCGATCTCAGCAACATTTCTACAGAAGCTCGTTTCCGCCACAGGATAAAAATAATTGAAAAAAAAAGACTAATTTGTGTTTTTTTTGTCGAGTTTATACCTTACGATTGAAAAAAGGAAAAAAAAAAACAGAATATTCTGACTTTTTTGTGGAATTGAGAAAAAAGTGGAAATTGTGAGAAAAAAGTGAAAATTGTGATTCTATATACCTTTATTCTGACTTTTTTTGTAGAATTGCAATTACTTTATTCTCGCAATTCTGAGTTTCTCACAATTACGACTTTATTGACACGTTTATATACCTATATTCTGACTTTTCCGTAGAATTGTGCGAAAATGTTTATATACATATATTCAGACTGTTATAGAATTACAATTCTGAGTTTTTTTCTCGCAATTCAGTTTCTTGCAAGTACGACTTTTATTTATAGAGTTTATAGAACTATATTCTGACTTTTTTTTGTGGAATTGCGAGAAAAAAGTTGAAATTGTGCGAAAAAAGTTGAAATTGTGAGTTTATATACATATTCTACATTTTTCGTAGAATTGCAATTCTGACTTTTTTTCCCGCAATTCAGAGTTTCTTGCAAGCATGACTTTATTCTTGTGACTTTATAGGTATATTCTAACTTTTTTCATAGAATTGCTAAGAAAAAAAATCATAATTGTGAGAAACTCGGAATTGCGAGTTTATATACCTATATTCTGACTGAGATATAAACTCATAATTATAAGTAAAAAAGTCATAATTGTTAGATATAAATTCGTATAAATTGCCTTTTGTTTTTATTCCGTGGTGGAGAGAAGCTTCCATTCAATTGGGCTCTAAACTCTGAGACGTGAAATGAAGCGTCTGTCTGTCTGTCTGTCTGTCTGTCTGTCTGTCTGTACATTTGGCTAAAACATCAACATGACATTAAAACAGAAATAGCAAATAAACAATATACAAAAGCTTTTCCAACAACATCCACAAAAAAATAACCAATAAAGCTTTGAAAAGGAAATGAAGCTCAAAACATCATCATCATCATCTATGAGCAGTACATGACCTGTGAAACTACCCACAATGCATCTGTCATAGACCTCACACAGACAGACAGACAGGTGTATGGAATGAAGGAGGTGAACAAGAAACAGGAAGGAAAAGCAAAAAACAAAAACTGAAAGTGCAAAAATCACTTTGTGAGGAAACAAACGCTGCTGTTCTCTTGTTGCAACATAGAACGGTTTAATAATAATCATTCTTTTTAATAATGTCATAACCATAAAACGTCTTTTACAGAAAACAATAATGAATCATAATTCCTACAGAACATTAGCCATAAAAATGCGTTAAAAATAAAAGAACAGAAGTGAGGAAAGAGCGAGTGAGAGTCGCGGCCCGACCGGAATGATCCGCGGCGTCCCACAGGCTTCACGAGAAATACTTTGGGTTTGTGGCGTTTGGTAATGACGTCTCTTTGTGTGTGTGTGTGTGTGTGTGTGTGTGTGGGGGGTGTTTACATAAGACTCTGTGTAAGCCTTGTACATCGGAGCGCGCGGGAGCGCTACTATGGCGGCGGTAAGAGGGCGTGGTCGGGTGGGGGAGGGGCGGATGATTATTGGGCCTCAGCAGACGGGCGGCACTCGCCCCAGCCAATCAGAGAAACTCCCATGTCATGACGGCCAATGGCGTCGAAGAGGAAGCCGAGTGCTCCGCCCCCTGCGTGCTGGCCACGCCCACGGCGCCCCGACGGACAGACGATGAGGATTTGGCATGACAGCACAACACAGCAGACGGATATGAGCTTTATACAGCAAATACACCCCTGAGAACACACACACACAACATCACCATATATATTACATATCATAAAATTGTACATACAAATATAGAAATATGAACAAAAGTTAAATATAGTAAATCAAATGTGTAAACTTAGTCTAACATTTAAATTTACTTAAGTTTTTTTCACGAATAGTGACAATATGAACAATCATGCAGCCGATTCTGCTATATAATATATTGCTTTATGCGAGTGTACGCACACACACACACGCACACACACACACACACACACACACACACACACACACACACACACACACACACACACACACACACACACACACACACACACACACACACACACACACACACACACACACACACACACACACACACACACACACACACACACACACACACACACACCTGTGTTCGTTAGACCCCGGCCTGTTCCACACTGTACTGCAGGTCGGGGGGTTTGTAGCTTAGCAGCATGTCACTGGTGCAGGAGGACGGGTAACAGGAGGCGGGGGGAACATCGGCCTCCACGTCTAAACACACACATACACACACAACACCATCATCATCATCGTCAGTGAGCGCGTGAGAGTGTGTGTGTGTGTGTGCGTTCACACACCTGACCCCTCCCTCTGCTGCAGCTGCTGGCTTCCTGTCAGAGACGATTGGCTGAGGATGTCCGACATGCGGGCGGAGCTTAGCGCCTTCCCAGCCAATAAGCTCATTCCAGACATAGGCTCCGCCTGCTCCTACAAGAACAGGGGGTCAAGAGGTCAGCGCTGAACACACACACACACACACACACACACTCTGTACATGCTACCCTCTCACACACACACACACACACTCTGTACATGCTACCATTAGGAGATATCATTAGGAAGCATGACATTAGTTTTCACTGTTATGCCGATGATACTCAGCTGTATATTTCTTCACGTCCCGACGAAACTTACCAATTCACAAAATTAACGGAATGCATAGCTGATATAAAAAATTGGATGACTAGTAATTTCCTACTACTAAATTCTGAAAAAACAGAGATTCTAATTATTGGACAAAAAACTTCCACACGTAATAACCTAGAATACTGTCTAACACTCGATGGCTGCTCTGTCAAGTCTTCGTCGTCGGTTAGGAACCTGTGTGTGTGTGTGTGTGTGTGTGTGTGTGTGTGTGTGTGTGTGTGTGTGTGTTCTTTGAAAGCAATCTTTCATTTGAAAGTCACGTGTCTAGTATCTGTAAAACTGCATTTTTCCATCTTAAAAATATATCTAAATTACGCCATATGCTCTCATTGGGAAATGCAGAACGATTAGTCCATGCGTTCATGACCTCAAGGCTAGATTATTGTAATGCTCTACTGGGTGGTTGCCCTGCACGCTTAATAAACAAACTCCAGCTAGTTCAAAACGCAGCCGCTCGAGTTCTTACCAGAACCAGGAAGTATGACCATATTAGCCCGGTTCTGTCAACACTGCATTGGCTGCCTATTAAACATCGTATAAATTTTAAAATATTGCTGATTACCTACAAAGCACTAAATGGTTTAGCTCCCAGTGCTTGAGCGAGCTCTTAACACATTATAGTCCTTCACGTCTATTGCGATCTCTAAACTCCGGCCAGTTGATAATACCTGGAATATCTAAATCGACTGCTGGCGGGAGATCCTTTTCCTATTTAGCACCAAAACTCTGGAACAGTCTTCCTACCATTGTCCGGGAAGCAGACACACTCTGTCAGTTCAAAGCTACACACACACACACTCACGTAGGCGTCGTCGCAGGTCTGGATGGTGTGATGTCGCTGTAATGCTCCTCGGGGTCTGTGTGAGCCGTAGCCGTTGTGATCTCCTTCCATCGGCCGACAGTCTGAGGCGTCACACGACTCTGACACACAACAGGCCAACAAATACATTAGATGCAGAAGCGTGTGTGTGTGTGTGTGTGTGTGTGTGTGTGTGTGTGTGTGTGTGTGTGAGTGAGTGAGTGTGTGTGCATGAGTGTGTGAATGCGCTGAACGATGGGTCACCTCTTGTCGCCGTGGCGCCGCGCATGTAGGCGTGTCTAGGCGTGGGAGAGGAGTAGGGCGGCGTGCTGCAGAGGGGCGGAGCCAGCATCTCGTCACAGGAGGGGGCGGCGGCTTTGGCCAGCAGGCCCTCGTGATAGGCCGGTGCCTCGTCCTCCTCCATGCTCTCCGAGGGAGGGGCGGGGCTTATCTGGAGCAGGTGATGGTAGTGCTGCGTGGGCGGGGCTTGCGGAGGCTCCAAGCTCTCGCCGGATTGGCCCAGCTGCAGCAGCAGCATCTCAGGGGGCGTGGCCGGGGGCGGGGCTGTGCGTGAGTGGCGCTTGAGGAGCGCGGCGAGGTCTTGCGGCGGCAGGCGCGGGTCGGCGTGGCCCGTTAGCGAGTGGCGTGGCGAGAGGAGGCCCTGTAGAGTGGGCGTGACCTGTGGCGGCCGGTACTCTAGCGGCGTGGGCGATAGCAGAGCCTGTTGTAGCGCCGACGGACTCCCGTAACCCTGGTAACCCTCCAGACCCGGCACCTTCAGACACGCCCCCTGCAGGTACGGGTTATAGGTGCCGATCACGCTGCTCATGTTGCCCTCGCCAAACAGGTGCGGGGTAAACTGCTCGTACGTGGAAGTGTGGAAGCGACTCAAACTGCGACTGAAACACACACAACTTCTCATTAGCATAATCACACCCCAAATATTATGCGTGGGAGGAGTCTGGTCTGATCTGACTCCTCCCCTTTTGACTAAAGTCAACATGAAACAATGACATTAATGTGATATTTCAGAGCAAATCACAAATTGCGAGAAAAAAAGTTGTAATTGTGAGTTTATATACATATATTCTAACCGTATTGATGAACTCTATTGTTTGAGAGCGATTGTCAATGATGATTTCATGTTGACTTTAAAACACATAAAACTGGAGCCACTGCATCAGTAGCTAATGTTCATCTAAGATCAGCACTGTTAACACTAGTAAAGCCTAATCAACATGGCGTCTCATATGCACTGACCCAGTGAGCACGACACAGAAGCACACGCTCTACTGCTAGCATTAGCTCACCAGCGCGACTCGAGCACCTCACACGCCGGCGTCAGCCACTCGTCTGGGAGCGTCTCAATATTTACACAGATCGTTTCCACAACAGTGATAAAAACTCCAAAAGAATCATTAAAATAATCTCAATGTCCTAAACATGCTTTAAAACCTCTGGTGCTTTTCGGTCAAAAATGTTACATTTTTTTTTTTTTTTTTTTTTCTTCATCGGAATGGTACGAAACTTGGTAAAGGTTTTGGCTCTTGCTGTGTGAACACAAATAACTCCTGGCCATGATCTGAACAGGTTTAATGGTGCTGATAACAACAGTCACACTTGTGTTTCTCGCGGTCAGAAATGACGCAGTGGAAATGAATGTAGAGTTTCCTCTAGTGGAAGCGTGTGGAACTGCAGCCGAACACACTCTCACTGAACGCTCGTGTACTGAGAGATCAGACTCACATGAGGAACACACTGGGGGAGAGTTACGGCTGAGATTTAGTGCAGTTTTAGAGTGAAATGTGTTTTGGAAAATATATATTTCATAGAAAAATTTTAAATAGTATTTTGTTCATTTCTCTTCAGCAATAATCTGCAAGTGTCGTGTTTGAGAAGAGATCAAACTTCAGTCTGTCGCTCTAAAGCGTTCCAGATTCTCCACAGTTTCAGCTGGACATGTAATTTTCAAGTCTATGCTCAAAAAGTGAATAAATGGATTATAAATACAGTGTAAACATAATTAAGTACCATAAAATCCCCTAAAAATACAAAATATTAAATAAAAAAACATTATCGAACTAAACTATAGTACATTCTTTCAATGAAATGAAAATAATAATTTCACACGTGACACGTGAAAAACACCAGAGGGAACAAACATATACAGCACTGATTCAAAACCAGAAGAACATACAATCAAAGCCTTTTTTAACAATCAAAAATAAAGGACGAATGAATGAACCGAACACACAGATGGCAGAGTGTGTGTGTGTGTGTGTGTCCGCGGCGCTCGCGTCACCTGTGTGTTTCCGCGTTATCGGCGCTCAGCTGTTTCCCCAGAACTCTGTGACACGGGGTTGCTAGGAAACCCTGCCGCTGAGCTCCGCCCCCGAGCTCCACCTCCTGCACCTGAATGGTCACCTGCTGCTGGCGGGCGGAGCCTGACGATAACGGAGGCTGCTGATTGGCCATGCGGGGGAGGCTGGTGGGGGGAGGGCTGGCGCTGGGAGACTGGTAGAGGGCGGAGCCATGCTGAAACTGAACCGCAGAAGCCCCGCCTGTGGGAGGAGTTTAACACGTCAATGTCACTGTGTGAATCACTCAACCGAGGCTGCTGATTGGACACTAACCGTGAGCCTGCATCATCCCCTGACTGCCCGGCGGAGGACTCTGATTGGCTGGTCTGAAGAGGTGGTTGTTAGGATGCGTAGGTGGAGGACTGGAGGGCTGAATACGCAACCTGAGAGAGAGAGAGAGAACACGATGAAGATGTGTGTGTGTGTGTGTGTGAGTGCGAGTGAGTGTGTGAATGAGTGAGTGAGTGTGTGAGTGTGTGTGTGTGTTCACCTCTGTAGCTGGTATGTAAGGTGACTGCTGGGCTGGTTTTCTCCATGTCCCAAAGACAGGGCCTGTAAACAGGAAGTCATTACGGTCAAATCCCTCTATAGTTACACTCAGGAATGTGTGTGTGTGTGTGTGTGTGTTTAACTGCACTTTAGATTAGTGGTTCTAAACCTTTTTGACTGCACTGTCCACAACAATATTCATTATATGAGTTGTTCCCCTGGTTAATCTGAACTGTATACACGAGCACACAACTACTACTTCAGCTATATCAGTCTAGTGCAGGAACAGATGACACGTTCACACCTATAACAATAACGATAACTACAACTATAACGATAACTACAACTATAACGATGATAACTATAACGATAACTATAATGACAACGATAACTATAACTATAACGATATCTATAACTATAGTGATAACTATAACTATAACGATAACGATAACTATAATTATAACTATAACGATAAGATAACTAACTATGACGATAACTATAACGATAACTATAATGTTAACTATAATAAAAAACGATAACTATAACTATAACGATAACTATAACGATAACTATAACGATAACTATAACGATAATGATAACTATAACTATGACGATAACTATAACGTTAACTATAACTATACGATAACTATAACTATAACGATAATTATAACTATAACGATAAGATAACTAAAACTATGACGATAACTATAACGATAACTATAACGTTAACTATAACTATACGATAACTATAACTATAACGATAACTATAACTATACGATAACTATAACGATAACTATAATGATAACGATAACTATAACTATAATGATAACGATAACGATAACTATAACGATAACTATAACTATAACTATAACGATAATGATAACTATAACAATAACTATAACGATAAGATAACTATAACTATAACGATAACTATAACGATAACTATACGATAACTATAACTATAACGATAACTATAACTATACGATAACTATAACGATAACTATAACTATAATGATAACGATAACTATAACGATAACTATAACTATAACGATAACTATAACGATAATGATAACTATAACGATAACTATAACGATAAGATAACTATAACTATAACGATAACTATAACGATAACTATAACGATAACGACAACTATAACGATAACTATAACGAATACGATAACTATAACGATAACTATAACTATACGATAACTATAACGATAACAATAACGATAACTATAAACGATAACGACAACTATAACGATAACTATAACGAATACGATAACTATAATGATAACTATAACTATACGATAACTATAACGATAACAATAACGATAACTATAACGATAACTATAACGATAAGTTAACTATAACTGTAACGATAACTATAACCAGGGCTCAACATAAAAAAAATCCCCACTGGCCCCCGGGGCCAGTAGATCAGAGTTTTGGTGGCCCCTTCTACATTTTTACTGGCCCTGAAAGAAATATAAGGAAAAGCACTTTTCCATTAAACTGTAGGCCTATTTATTGTATACATTAGGATTAATCAATACAGCAAAGGGAGTACAGGAATTAAGAGAGAGCCCCTTTATGCAAAAATAACCAGATGTCAGCCTGCAGTAGATTATTTGTCAATACCTGCTCTCTCCTCATCTCCATCACTCTTTCTTTTTTTCTCAGTCTCCTCGTCTTACTTATGCTTATTAAAGCTAAAGTTATTCATTCAAGAGCTGATTTTCTTTTTGCCTTTTGTTGTTAAATTCTCAGTAATGGCGCAATCCTCAGCATGTTTATTAGACTGGTTCCCCTTTAAGAACGAGTGCAGATCTAATAGTCTACTGATGCACCATATTTTCTCCCAAATATTTCCATAACTACGTCCATTTTAGACATAAACTGTTTAAGTGAATCTCCAAGGCGGTCATTTTGACATATTTTTGTGTATATTTGATCGTTTAAACGCGCACATGAAGCCCAATGTGTAATTTGCTTGTCTCGTTACGGTATGTTTCGGAGCGCGCCGCATTTGGAACAGCATCTCTTGCGCCGATTTTTGTGCTTTTAATAGCTCTTTTTATTATTAAACGCGTCCCGCAATTTAGCAACAGTAGAGACTGCATTTTACAACAATCACCGATCGTGCTGATTCTGTCTTAAAGTTTTAGTTTTAAGGTGAAATGGCAGCGTACTGCTGTGATGGGAAGGAAGTTGCGCTAGACAGAATGCGGCTATAGTTTTTAATGGTTTTACCTCAAATATTCTATAATCTTTGGAAGCTGAAATCTAAAATAAAATCTAAGATCTAAAGTGTGCTACGTTAGAGTGTTTAGTTCTGTCCTCTGCTCTGTGGTCACTCATTAAGCTGGGCTGTCGTGCTGTGCGCACTGTGGCACCGCGTGAGAGATCTCTCTCTATCTGGACTGCGAATAGCAAAGATGCATCACAGACTAATGGTTTAATATTAATATGTCCAGAAATGGCTGGTGACTCAGCGAGATGGTAAAAAAACAACCAATAACGTCTGATGATCACCCCGCGTGTATTTCTCCAGTACCGACAGCAGAGCCAATAACGTCCGAGCTTATCGATACAGCGGTCTTTCAAAATTCAGCCCCGGCTCGTTTAATACCGGGTTTCGGTACCCATCCCTACACCAGTGTAGGCCCTACTGTGTTTTCCATGACACTGGGAATGTCCTCTTTCTCGTATCAGCCTCGTAGTTCTTTGACACTTTAACACGTTAAAATAACCTGAAGTAACACTAATGGTGTGTTCACACCGAACGCGAATTTAATTATTTGCGCGAGTAGATTACATACAAAGTTAATGCAAAGACGCGAATAGACGCATCATTCGCGCCGGGCGTTGCGAATGACGCGAATTGGGCGACGCGTTTGCCGCGAATGTCTTCCGCGCAAGTTGAAAAATTTGAACTCGAGCGAATGTTCAAGCGTCTAACTAGACGCGATAGACGCGTATTTGACGCTCTATCCGCGTTCGGTGTGAACACACCATCCGCGCCACTGTGTATGACGTTTGCTGTTTGTTTTGCTGCGGGCCAGTGACTGGCCAATCAACTTGCCCGACACACTCTTTTACTGGCCCCGGGCCATCAGGCCATTGCTTATGTCGAGCCCTGCTATAACTATAACGATAACTATAACTATAACTATAACTATAACTATAACGATAACGATAACGATAACGATAACTTTAACTATAACTATAACGATAACGCACCCTGAGGTGTGTGTGAGGTCAGACCTGTATCTGCTGGTGTAGGATCTGCTGCTCTTGCTGGTAGAGGATGTGCTGTTGCTGTGTGTGTTCCATCATCCGCTTGTCCTGCGCCGCTGCGTACATCTTCTGCAGCTGCTCACACTCCTGCACACACACACACCAATGTTCTACATCAGTGAATGCAAATTAAAGAACACACAAGGTTTTATTGTCCCATTTCATGTTATTTGCATTTCTGTTCTTAAGTTTTATCATGAAAAAATAAACAGAAGTAATTTGTCATGCTCATAATGTGTGTGCCTGTGTGTGTGTGTGTGCGTGTGTGCGTGTGTGTGTGTGCGTGTGTGTGCCTGTGTGTGTGTGTGTGTGCCTGTGTGTGTGTGTGCCTGTGTGTGTGTGTGTGTGTGTGTGTGTGTGTGTGTGTGTGTGTGTGTGTGTGTGTGTGTGTACCTGTTTGAGCTGGCGGATCAGGCTGTTGTTCTCCATCTGGGTCTTGAAGGCCTGGATGGTTGCGGCTCCATCAGAGAAGCGGCGCACCGGAGAGAAGCGTTCCATCGGAAGGTGAAGGGTGTTGCAGTCTTTATACGACGACCTGAAACACACACACAACGCTCTGCGTTTATAAGGCGTGTGTGAGCTCATGTGGTGGTGAGGGCTCTAACACAGATCCATGAACCCAGAGTGTGCCGCTTCAGCTCCAGTTAACACACACGTGCTCTAGAGTGACGCTGTGATTAAAGGGATAGTTCACCATTAGCCCATGATTTACTCTCCCTCGACTCATCCCAGTGTGTGTGACACTCTTCTGTCACACACACACCATCAGAGTTATGTTAGAAAATGTCCTGGCTCTTCCAAGCTTTATAAGGGGAGTGAACATTGAATTATTCAACAATATTTTTGATCTGCGTTACCTCATGTGGACGATGACGCAATTTTATTCTAGAAACAAACTTCCTGTAATTATTTTCATGTTATCACTGTGAAGCTGCTTTGATACAATCTCCATTGTGAAAAGCTCTATATAAATAAAGATGACTTCACTTGAATGGCTGTTTCTGTTTGGAAGTCCATAAAGTGCATCTTTCCATCATAAAAGTGCATGAAAAACTTTTATCGTTTTTATGATGGACGGATGCACTTTTATGATGGATAGATGCACTTTTATGATGGATAGATGCACTTTTATGATGGATAGATGCACTTTTATGATGGACAGATGCACTTTTATGATGGACAGATGCACTTTTATGATGGTTAGATGCACTTTTATGATGGATAGATGCACTTTTATGATGGACAGATGCACTTTTATGATGGACAGATGCACTTTTATGATGGACAGATGCACTTTTATGATGGACGGATGCACTTTTATGATGGTTAGATGCACTTTTATGATGGATAGATGCACTTTTATGATGGACAGATGCACTTTTATGATGGACAGATGCACTTTTATGATGGACGGATGCACTTTTATGATGGATAGATGCACTTTTATGATGGACAGATGCACTGTTATGATGGATAGATGCACTTTTATGATGGATAGATGCACTTTTATGATGGACGGATGCACTTTTATGATGGATAGATGCACTTTTATGATGGATAGATGCACTTTTATGATGGACAGATGCACTTTTATGATGGATAGATGCACTTTTATGATGGATAGATGCACTTTTATGATGGACAGATGCACTTTTATGATGGATAGATGCACTTTTATGATGGACCGATGCACTTTTATGATGGACCGATGCACTTTTATGATGGACAGATGCACTTTTATGATGGATAGATGCACTTTTATGATGGACGGATGCACTTTTATGATGGATAGATGCACTTTTATGATGGACAGATGCACTTTTATGATGGATAGATGCACTTTTATGATGGATAGATGCACTTTTATGATGGACAGATGCACTTTTATGATGGATAGATGCACTTTTATGATGGACCGATGCACTTTTATGATGGACCGATGCACTTTTATGATGGACAGATGCACTTTTATGATGGATAGATGCACTTTTATGATGGACGGATGCACTTTTATGATGGACAGATGCACTTTTATGATGGATAGATGCACTTTTATGATGGACGGATGCACTTTTATGATGGATGGATGCACTTTTATGATGGATTGATGTACTTTTATGATGGATAGATGCACTTTTATGATGGATAGATGCACTTTTATGATGGACGGATGCACTTTTATGATGGACAGATGCACTTTTATGATGGACAGATGCACTTTTATGATGGATAGATGCACTTTTATGATGGATAGATGCACTTTTATGATGGATAGATGCACTTTTATGATGGACAGATGCACTTTTATGATGGATAGATGCACTTTTATGATGGACAGATGCACTTTTATGATGGACACATGCACTTTTATGATGGACAGATGCACTTTTATGATGGACAGATGCACTTTTATGATGGATAGATGCACTTTTATGATGGATAGATGCACTTTTATGATGGACAGATGCACTTTTATGATGGATAGATGCACTTTTATGATGGATAGATGCACTTTTATGATGGACAGATGCACTTTTATGATGGATAGATGCACTTTTATGATGGACCGATGCACTTTTATGATGGACCGATGCACTTTTATGATGGACAGATGCACTTTTATGATGGATAGATGCACTTTTATGATGGACGGATGCACTTTTATGATGGATAGATGCACTTTTATGATGGACAGATGCACTTTTATGATGGATAGATGCACTTTTATGATGGACAGATGCACTTTTATGATGGACGGATGCACTTTTATGATGGACAGATGCACTTTTATGATGGACAGATGCACTTTTATGATGGACGGATGCACTTTTATGATGGACGGATGCACTTTTATGATGGATAGATGCACTTTTATGATGGACAGATGCACTTTTATGATGGACAGATGCACTTTTATGATGGACGGATGCACTTTTATGATGGACGGATGCACTTTTATGATGGATAGATGCACTTTTATGATGGACAGATGCACTTTTATGATGGACGGATGCACTTTTATGATGGACGGATGCACTTTTATGATGGACGGATGCACTTTTATGATGGACAGATGCACTTTTATGATGGATAGATGCACTTTTATGATGGATAGATGCACTTTTATGATGGACGGATGCACTTTTATGATGGACGGATGCACTTTTATGATGGACGGATGCACTTTTATGATGGACGGATGCACTTTTATGATGGACGGATGCACTTTTATGATGGATAGATGCACTTTTATGATGGACGGATGCACTTTTATGATGGACAGATGCACTTTTATGATGGACAGATGCACTTTTATGATGGACAGATGCACTTTTATGATGGACAGATGCACTTTTATGATGGATAGATGCACTTTTATGATGGACGGATGCACGTTTATGGACTTCCAAACAGAAACAGCCATTCACTGCTATTATAAAGCTTGGAAGAGTCAGGACAATTTTTTAATATAACTGATTCTATTCGTCTGAAAGAAGAGTGTCATATACACCTAGGATGAGTTGAGGGTTAATTTTCATTTCTGGGTGAACTATCCCTTTAACTGTGTCCTGTCATCATCATCTTCATCATCTCCTGAATCAGTTGAGTGCTCAGATGGACCGCTACGCCTCAGCATGTGGAACGAACATCAACACAACACTCACAAACGCCCCGACGGAAACACGTCACAGATCTGACATGTGACTCAGCGGCAGCAGACCAATCACGTTCAGGCGTTTCGTACAGCGATCGCAAGTCTGTCCTGCAGTTCCTCTATGAACACGACCGGAGACAGGTCAAAGGTCAGAGCTAAACTCATGAGGGTCACCATGTGCTCACTCATCCAAACACTTCCTCTTCATCCTGACGCTTCTGTGACCTCATTTCCTCTGCAGACAGGAAGTCAGCAGGATCTGCTCCTCTGATGTCAAAGTTTTTTTAATTATTTTTTTATTTTATTTACACTTTAAATTACTAGATTTTCTATATCTAGATTAGATCAATAAATAATAATTTAAGTACATTCTTTACATTTTTACTAATTTCATGCATAAGCCTTTTAATGCAGCTCTAAATATCTTACATCGGGAGTCTTTGCCTCTTGTGGAAAATAATAATAACACATGATATTTCATGACTCTAGATGGGCTTATAGCTCTATATGGAGCAGAGGAGAAAATGATTCAGATACACATCTAGACATTATAAAATAATTTTTGGTAAAGTTTTACCATTCTTAGTGTGAATTTTGAGCATTTTTAAGTTTTTCTATGTGTCATTACAGCTTCAAAAACTGCTGTTATAATTTTACCATTTATTTTGCATTTCTGTGTGTGTGTGTGTGTGTGTGTGTGTGAGGATGAGTGTGTGTGTGTGTGTGCATGTGAGTGTGTGTGTGTGTGTGTGTGTGTGTGTGCATGTGAGTGTGTGAGAGTGTGTGTGTGTGTGTGTGTGTGTGTGAGAGTGTGTGTGTGTGCGCGTGTGTTCATGTGAGTGTGTGCATATGTGTGTGTGTGTGTGTGAGCATGTAAGTGTATGTGTGTGTGTGTGTGTTTGTGAGTGCGCATGTGTGTGTGAGTGTGTGTGTGTATATGTATGTGTGTGTGAGTGTGTAAGTGTATATGTGTGTGTGTGTGTGTGAGCATGTAAGTGTATGTGTGTGTGTGTGTGTGTGTGTGTGTGTGTGTGTGTGTTTGTGAGTGCGCATGTGTGTGTGAGTGTGTAAGTGTATATGTGTGTGTGTGTGTGAGCATGTAAGTGTATGTGTGTGTGTGTGTGTGTTTGTGAGTGCGCATGTGTGTGTGAGTGTGTAAGTGTATGTGTGTGTGTGTGTGTGTGTGTGTCCCTCACCGGCAGTGTTGTTCGGGGGTCCAGCCCCTCTGCCGGGCTCTCTGTGTGTCCGAGAGCTCGCTGGTCATGTGACAGGGACCCGTGCCGTGTGTTGTGTGCCGCTTGGAACTGTTCGCCAGATACCTGGACCACAGGAATCAGGATCAGGCTCTGATTGGCTGCCGCCAGCCCTCTGACGGGCCACTCATCCAATCGGCACAGACTCAGAGCGGCTCCGCTCTGCCTTTTAGCCGGTCATTTTTGCAAAGCGATTAGACAGAAGCAAAGCCACAGAAGGGAAACTTGCCGTCGACTGACACAAGAGGTCAGAGGTCACTTTAGACTCGGGAGAATTTAGAGGCGGTTTAGAAAGTGATGCTGATGGACAGACAGAGAGAGAGAGACAGAAGAGAGAGAGAGAGAGAGAGAGAGAGAGAGAGAGAGAGAGAGAGAGAGAGAGAGAGAGAGAGAGAGAGAGAGAGAGAAAAGAAAGAGAGACTAAAGCCTAAAGCACTGAAAGTTCACGGCTTCACAAGACCACGGCTCCCAGCGCAGCAGAAGCTCACTTACATGGACACAAAACTCACACACACACACTCACACACACACTCACTCACACATAAACTCACACTCACACTCACACACTCAAGCAAACACACACCACCACCAGAGAATGCCGCGCTCCAACACACTCTTCAAACACCTGTGTGTGTCTGAAAGGGAGTGTGTGTTGGAGTTGGTAGAGGAAACACAAGCGTCTGCATGCACACACACACACACCGTACCTCTGAACAGCCTCCGGATCCGGTTCGGCGTCAGATCCCTCCTCGTCGACTGGAGCCACGGCGGGAATTGGATGCTAACAAACACACACACACACACATCAGAACTCAAAATCTGCTTCATTGAAGCGCGAGAGACTGTGTGTTCTGTCCTCGTGTGTATCAGTGTACTGGACCCGTGCAGCTCTTAAAGGGACAGCGCTCATATTCCTCCGTCTCTATAATAACACTAATATTCCTCCGTCTCTATAATAACACTAATATTCCTCCGTCTCTATAATAACTCTAATATTCCTGCCGTCTCTATAATAACTCTAATCACACAACAGAAGACTGAGAACACACACTCGTTTTTAACCCACTGGAGCGAGAGACTGTGTGTTCTGTCCTCGTGTGTATCAGTGTACTGGACCCGTGCAGCTCTTAAAGGGACAGCGCTCAGATTCCTCCGTCTCTATAATAACACTAATATTCCTCCGTCTCTATAATAACTCTAATATTCCTCCGTCTCTATAATAACACTAATATTCCTCCGTCTCTATAATAACACTAATCACACAACAGAAGACTGAGAACACACACTCCCTCTTCACTGAATAACTTCTGTAACTATATCTGTAATGTAGATTTTATTTATAAACTGCAGTGTTATTTTACACTTGATTACAGTTTCTGAACCTGAAAATCTTAAAACTGTTTATTTCAATCGCATCTTTGTTCAGTTGTGTCTATTTGTAGCGATTGCTAATTTTCCATGTGTTCTTGTTTAATAACTGAGTGTTTATTGTGTGTAATAATGCTGAAGTGTGTATTAGTTGGGCTAGTTGTTCTTCTATGGTGTGTTTAACCCTCAGGCAAACGCTGTGTGTGTAAGTGTTCTTCAGCTGATGATTTCTGCTCATGATATTCAGACACAGTTACAGGTTCTGCAATAACACTAAATGTGAATGATATCTAAGTTTTTTTTTTTTTTTACCTTATTGGAATTGAAATTAGAAATCAATAAGCAGAACTGAAATCAGAATCGTTAAAATTCAATTGATACCCAATGATGCAATGGAATGTGTTTCTGAAGTGCAGCTGTGAGAAGCATGAGGGATTGTGGGATTGCAATGTGTGTCTCACCGGGCTGGTGACTAGCGGCGACTGACCGCGCGGCCTCTTCAACAGCTGCTGTGCGTGAAGCTGAATGTTAGCGCCACCGTCAGACGCCCGGCGGCCCAGAGGACCCATACCGTTCAGCAGCTGAAGAGTCGGAGGCTGCAGCAGAGACTGCTCCTACACACACACACACACACACACACACACACACACACACACACACACACACACACACACAGAGGAACGTCACATCATGGAGTTACCCAAGAATGTGAGTGAGTGAGTGAATAAGTTTGTGAGTGAGTGAGTGTGTGTGAGTATATGTGTGTGTGAGTGAGTGAGTGAGTGAGTGAGTGAGTGAGTGAGTGAGTGAGTGAGTGAGTGAGAGAGTGAGAGAGTGAGAGAGTGAGAGAGTGAGTGTGTGTGTGAGAGTGAGTGTGTGTGTGTGAGTGAGTGAGTGAGTGAGTGTGTGAGTGAGTGAGTGTGTGAGTGAGTAAGTGACTGAGTGTGAGAGAGTGAGTGAGTGAGTGAGTGAGTGTGTGAGTGTGTGAGTGAGTGTGTGAGTGAGTGAGTGTGTGAGTGAGTGAGTGTGAGAGAGTGAGTGAGTGAGTGAGTGAGTGTGTGAGTGAGTGAGTGAGTGAGTGAGTGAGTGAGTGTGAGTGAGTGTGAGTGAGTAAGTGTGTGTGTGAGTGAGTGAGTGAGTGAGTGTGTGTGTGAGTGAGTGAGTGAGTGAGTGAGTGAGTGAGTGTGTGAGTGTGTGAGTGAGTGAGTGAGTGAGTGAGTGAGTGAGTGAGTGTGTGAGTGTGTGAGTGAGTGAGTGAGTGAGTGAGTGAGTGTGTGAGTGAGTGAGTGTGAGTAAGTGTGTGTGTGAGTGAGTGAGTGAGTGAGTGAGTGAGTGAGTGAGTGAGTGAGTGAGTGTGTGAGTGAGTGAGTGAGTGTGTGAGTGAGTGAGTGAGTGTGAGTGAGTAAGTGTGTGTGTGAGTGAGTGAGTGAGTGAGTGAGTATGTTGTACCTTGTACTCAAGCTGCTGTGTGGGTTGCATGTTCTGGGTGGGCATCAGATGCATCTGTGCCATAGTGGGAACAAGCTGAGGGAAGGGCGGCTGAGGGGCCACACGAGGAAACCCAGGGGCCAGTTTCTGAAGATCCTCCTGAATCTCCGCCCTGAGAAACACACACACACAGACAGAAAACATCAGTACACTGGGAGGGGGTTTAGTTACGTGGGAGGGGTTTACATTGAAGTGGAAGGGACTTTAATTGGGCGAGAGGGGTTTAGAGTGAACTTGAAGGGACTTTAGTGAGGTGAGAGTTGTTTAGAGTGATCTGGAAGGGACTTTAGTGAGGTGAGAGTGGTTTAGAGTGAACTGGAAGGGACTTTAGATTGGTGAGAGGGGTTTAGAGTGAACTTGAAGGGACTTTACTTAGGTGAGAAGGGTTTAGAGTGAACTGGAAGGGACTTTAGTGAGGTGAGAGGGGTTTACAGTGAACTGGAGCGGACTTTAGATTAGTGAGAGGGGTTTAGAATTAACTGGAAGGGACTTTAGTTAGGTGGGAGTGGTTTGGAGTGAACTGGAAGGGACTTTAGTTAGGCGAGAGGGGTTTAGAGTGAACTGGAAGGGACTTCAGATAGGTGAGAGGGGTTTAGAGTGAACTGGAAGGGACTTTAGTGAGGTGAGAGGGGTTTAGAATTAACTGGAAGGGACTTTAGTTAGGTGAGAGGGGTTTAGAGTGAACTGGAAGGGACTTCAGATAGGTGAGAGGGGTTTAGAGTGAACTGGAAGGGACTTTAGTGAGGTGAGAGGGGTTTAGAATTAACTGGAAGGGACTTTAGTTAGGTGAGAGGGGTTTAGAATTAACTGGAAGGGACTTCAGTGAGGTGAGAGGGGTTTAGAGTGAACTGGAAGGGACTTCAGATAGGTGAGAGGGGTTTAGAGTGAACTGGAAGGGACTTTAGTGAGGTGAGAGGGGTTTAGAATTAACTGGAAGGGACTTTAGTTAGGTGAGAGGGGTTTAGAATTAACTGGAAGGGACTTCAGTGAGGTGAGAGGGGTTTAGAGTTAACTGGAAGGGACTTTAGTGAGGTGAGAAGGGTTTAGAATTAACTGGAAGGGACTTTAGTTAGGTGAGAAGGGTTTAGAGTGAACTGGAAGGGACTTTAGTGAGGTGAGAAGGGTTTAGTTAACTGGAAGGGACTTTAGTGAGGTGAGAGGGGTTTAGAGTTAACTGGAAGGGACTTTAGTGAGGTGAGAGGGGTTTAGAGTTAACTGGAAGGGACTTTAGTGAGGTGAGAAGGGTTTAGAGTGAACTGGAAGGGACTTCAGATAGGTGAGAGGGGTTTAGAATTGACTGGAAGGGACTTTAGTGAGGTGAGAGGGGTTTAGAATTAACTGGAAGGGACTTTAGTGAGGTGAGAGGGGTTTCGAATTAACTGGAAGGGACTTTAGTTAGGCGAGAGGGGTTTAGAGTGAACTGGAAGGGACTTCAGATAGGTGAGAGGGGTTTAGAGTGAACTGGAAGGGACCTTAATGAGGTGAGAGTTGTTTCGAGTTAACTGGAAGGGACTTTAATAAGTTGAGAGGGGTTTAGAGTGAACTGGAAGGGACTTTAGTGAGGTGAGAAGGGTTTAGAGTTGACTGGAAGGGACATTAGTTAGGTGAGAGAAACTGGAACGGAGGGGCTTTAGTGAGGTGAAAGGTGTTTAGAGTGATGTGGAAGGGACTTTAGTAAGGTGAGAGGGGTTTAGAGTTAACTGGAAGGGACTTTAGTGAGGTGAGAGGGGTTTAGAGTGAACTGGAAGGGACTTTAGTTAGGTGAGAGGGGTTTAGAGTTAACTGGAAGGGACTTCAGTGAGGTGAGAGGGATTTAGAGTGAACTGGAAGGGACTTTAGTTAGATGAGAGGGGTTTAGAGTTAACTGGAAGGGACTTTAGTTAGGTGAGAAGGGTTTAGAGTGAACTGGAAGGGACTTTAGTGAGGTGAGAAGGGTTTAGTTAACTGGAAGGGACTTTAGTGAGGTGAGAGGGGTTTAGAGTTAACTGGAAGGGACTTTAGTGAGGTGAGAGGGGTTTAGAGTTAACTGGAAGGGACTTTAGTGAGGTGAGAAGGGTTTAGAGTGAACTGTAAGGGACTTCAGTGAGGTGAGAAGGGTTTAGAGTGAACTTGAAGGGACTTTAGTTAGGTGAGAGTGGTTTAGAGTGAACTTGAAGGGACTTTAGTGAGGTGAGAGTTGTTTAGAGTGAACTGGAAGGGACTTTAGTTAGGTGAGAAGGGTTTAGAGTTAACTGGAAGGGACTTTAGTGAGGTGAGAGGGGTTTAGAGTTTACTGGAAGGGGCTTTAGTGAGGTGATATGGGTTTAGACTGAACTGGAAGGGACTTTAGTGAGGTGAGAAGGGGTTAGGAGTTAACTGGAAGGGACTTTAGTGAGGTGAGAAGGGTTTAGAGTGAACTGGAAGGGACTTTAGTGAGGTGAGAGTGGTTTAGAGTTAACTTGAAGTTGGTTTAGAGTGGACTGGAAGGTACTTTAGTTAGGTGAGAGGGGTTTAGAGTTAACTGGAAGGGACTTTAGTGAGGTGAGAAGGGTTTAGAGTTAACTGGAAGGGACTTTAGTGAGGTGAGAGGGGTTTGGAGTTAACTGGAAGGGACTTTAGTGAGGTGAGAGGGGTTTAGAGTTAACTGGAAGGGACTTTAGTGAGGTGAGAGGGGTTTAGAGTTAACTGGAAGGGACTTTAGTGAGGTGAGAAGGGTTTAGAGTTAACTGGAAGAGACTTTAGTGAGGTGAGAAGGGTTTAGAGTTAACTGTAAGGGACTTTAGTGAGGTGAGAAGGGTTTAGAGTGAACTTGAAGGGACTTTAGTTAGGTGAGAGTGGTTTAGAGTGAACTTGAAGGGACTTTAGTGAGGTGAGAGGGGTTTAGAGTTAACTGTAGAGTTAACTGGAAGGGACTTTAGTGAGGTGAGAGGGGTTTAGAGTTAACTGGAAGGGACTTTAGTTAGGTGAGAGGGGTTTAGAGTTAACTGGAAGGGACTTTAGTTAGGTGAGAAGGGTTTAGAGTTAACTGGAAGGGACTTTAGTTAGGTGAGAGGGGTTTAGAGTGAACTTGAAGGGACTTTAGTTAGGTGAGAGTGGTTTAGAGTTAACTGCGGGTGGTGATGGCGCAGTGGATAAGACACATGCCTTTGGTGTGAGAGACCCGGGTTCAAATCCACTGTGAGACACCAATGTGTCCCTGAGCAAGACACTTAACCCCTAGTTGCTCCAGAGGCGTGCGACCTCTGACATATATAGCAATTGTAAGTCGCTTTGGATAAAAGCGTCAGCTAAATGAATAAATGTAAATGTAAACTGGAAGGGGCTTTAGTTAGGTGAGAGGGGTTTAGAGTGAACGGAGGGTCTTTAGTGAGGTGGGAGTGGTTTAGAGTTAACTGGAAGGGACTTTAGTGAGGTGAGAAGGGATTAGAGTGAACTGGAAGGGAATTTAGTGAGGTGAGAAGGGTTTAGAGTTAACTGGAAGGGACTTTAGTGAGGTGAGAAGGGATTAGAGTGAACTGGAAGGGACTTTAGTGAGGTGAAAAGGGTTTAGAGTTAACTGGAAGGGACTTTAGTGAGGTGAGAAGGGATTAGAGTGAACTGGAAGGGACTTTAGTGAGGTGGGAGTGGTTTGGAGTGAACTGGAAGGGACTTTAGTTAGGTGAGAGGGGTTTAGAGTGAACTGGAAGGGACTTCAGATAGGTGAGAGGGGTTTAGAGTGAACTGGAAGAGACCTTAATGAGGTGAGAGTTGTTTAGAGTTAACTGGAAGGGACTTTAATAAGTTGAGAGGGGTTTAGAGTGAACTGGAAGGGACTTTAGTTGCGAGTAACTGGAACGGAGGGGCTTTAGTGAGGTGAGAGTTGTTTAGAGTGAACTGGAAGGGACTTTAGATAGGTGAGAGGGGTTTAGAGTGAACTGGAAGGGACTTTAGTTAGGTGAGAGGGGTTTAGAGTGAACTGGAAGGGACTTTAGTGAGGTGAGAGGGGTTTAGAGTGAACGGAGGGGCTTTAGTGAGGTGGGAGTGGTTTAGAGTGAACTGGAAGGGACTTTAGTGAGGTGAGAAGGGTTTAGAGTTAACTGGAAGGGACTTTAGTGAGGTGAGAGGGGTTTAGAGTTAACTGGAAGGGACTTTAGTGAGGTGAGAGGGGTTTAGAGTGAACTGGAAGGGACTTTAGTGAGGTGAGAGGGATTTAGAGTGAACTGGAAGGGACTTTAGTGAGGTGAGAGGGGTTTAGAGTGAACTGGAAGGGACTTTAGTGAGGTGAGAGGGGTTTAGAGTTAACTGGAAGGGACTTTAGTGAGGTGAGAGTTGTTTAGAGTGAACTGGAAGGGACTTTAGATTGGTGAGAGTGGTTTAGAGTGAACTGGAAGGGACTTTAGATTGGTGAGAGGGGTTTAGAGTGAACTTGAAGGGACTTTAGTTAGGTGAGAGGGGTTTAGAGTGAACTGGAAGGGACTTTAGTGAGGTGAGAGGGGTTTAGAGTTAACTGGAAGGGACTTTAGTGAGGTGAGAGTTGTTTAGAGTGAACTGGAAGGGACTTTAGATTGGTGAGAGGGGTTTAGAGTGAACTTGAAGGGACTTTAGATTGGTGAGAGGGGTTTAGAGTGAACTTGAAGGGACTTTAGTTAGGTGAGAAGGGTTTAGAGTGAACTGGAAGGGACTTTAGAGAGGTGAGAGGGGTTTAGAGTGAACTGGAGCGGACTTTAGATTGGTGAGAGGGGTTTAGATTGAACTGGAAGGGACTTTAGTGAGGTGGGAGTGGTTTGGAGTGAACTGGAAGGGACTTCAGATAGGTGAGAGGGGTTTAGAGTGAACTGGAAGAGACGTTAATGAGGTGAGAGTTGTTTAGAGTTAACTGGAAGGGACTTTAGTGAGGTGAGATGGGATTAGAGTTAACTGGAAGGGACTTTAATAAGTTGAGAGGGGTTTAGAGTGAACTGGAAGGGACTTTAGTTGCGAGTAACTGGAACGGAGGGGCTTTAGTGAGGTGAGAGTTGTTTAGAGTGAACTGGAAGGGACTTTAGATAGGTGAGAGGGATTTAGAGTGAACTGGAAGGGACTTTAGTGAGGTGAGAGGGGTTTAGAGTGAACTGGAAGGGACTTTAGTGAGGTGAGAGGGGTTTAGAGTGAACGGAGGGGCTTTAGTGAGGTGGGAGTGGTTTAGAGTTAACTGGAAGGGACTTTAGTGAGGTGAGAGGGGTTTAGAGTTAACTGGAAGGGACTTTAGTGAGGTGAGAAGGATTTAGAGTTAACTGGAAGGGACTTTAGTGAGGTGAGAAGGGTTTAGAGTTAACTGGAAGGGACTTTAGTGAGGTGAGAGGGGTTTAGAGTTAACTGGAAAGGACTTAAGTGAGGTGAGAGGGGTTTAGAGTGAACTGGAAGGGACTTTAGTGAGGTGAGAAGGGGTTAGAGTGAACTGGAAGGGACTTTAGTGAGGTGAGAGGGGTTTAGAGTTAACTGGAAGGGACTTTAGTTAGGTGAGAAGGGTTTAGAGTGAACTGGAAGGGACTTTAGTGAGGTGAGAGGGGTTTAGAGTTAACTGGAAGGGACTTTAGTGAGGTGAGAGGGGTTTAGAGTTAACTGGAAGGGACTTTAGTGAGGTGAGAGGGGTTTAGAGTTAACTGGAAGGGACTTTAGTGAGGTGAGAGGGGTTTAGAGTTAACTGGAAGGGACTTTAGTGAGGTGAGAAGGATTTAGAGTTAACTGGAAGGGACTTTAGTGAGGTGAGAAGGGTTTAGAGTTAACTGGAAGGGACTTTAGTGAGGTGAGAGGGGTTTAGAGTTAACTGGAAGGGACTTTAGTGAGGTGAGAAGGATTTAGAGTTAACTGGAAGGGACTTTAGTGAGGTGAGAAGGGTTTAGTTAACTGGAAGGGACTTTAGTAAGGTGAGAGGGGTTTAGAGTGAACTGGAAGGGACTTTAGTGAGGTGAGAGGGGTTTAGAGTTAACTGGAAGGGACTTTAGTGAGGTGAGAAGGATTTAGAGTTAACTGGAAGGGACTTTAGTGAGGTGAGAAGGGTTTAGTTAACTGGAAGGGACTTTAGTGAGGTGAGAGGGGTTTAGAGTTAACTGGAAGGGACTTTAGTGAGGTGAGAGGGGTTTAGAGTTAACTGGAAGGGACTTTAGTGAGGTGAGAAGGATTTAGAGTTAACTGGAAGGGACTTTAGTGAGGCGAGAAGGGTTTAGAGTTAACTGGAAGGGACTTTAGTGAGGTGAGAGGGGTTTAGAGTTAACTGGAAGGGACTTTAGTGAGGTGAGAGGGGTTTAGAGTGAACTGGAAGGGACTTTAGTGAAGTGAGAAGGGGTTAGAGTGAACTGGAAGGGACTTTAGTGAGGTGAGAGGGGTTTGGAGTTAACTGGAAGGGACTTTAGTTAGGTGAGAAGGGTTTAGAGTGAACTGGAAGGGACTTTAGTGAGGTGAGAGGGGTTTAGAGTGAACTGGAAGGGACTTTAGTGAGGTGAGAGGGGTTTAGAGTTAACTGGAAGGGACTTTAGTGAGGTGAGAGGGGTTTAGAGTGAACTGGAAGGGACTTTAGTGAGGTGAGAGTTGTTTAGAGTGAACTGGAAGGGACTTTAGTGAGGTGAGAGGGGTTTAGAGTTAACTGGAAGAGACTTTAGTGAGGTGAGAAGGGTTTAGAGTGAACTGGAAGGGACTTTAGTGAGGTGAGAAGGGTTTAGAGTTAACTGGAAGAGACTTTAGTGAGGTGAGAAGGGTTTAGAGTGAACTGGAAGGGACTTTAGTGAGGTGAGAGGGGTTTAGAGTGAACTGGAAGGGACTTTAGTGAGGTGAGAGGGGTTTAGAGTTAACTGGAAGGGACTTTAGTGAGGTGAGAAGGGTTTAGAGTTAACTGGAAGGGACTTTAGTGAGGTGAGAAGGGTTTAGAGTGAACTGGAAGGGACTTTAGTGAGGTGAGAGGGGTTTAGAGTGAACTGGAAGGGACTTTAGTGAGGTGAGAGGGGTTTAGAGTTAACTGGAAGGGACTTAAGTGAGGTGAGAGGGGTTTAGAGTTAACTGGAAGGGACTTTAGTGAGGTGAGAAGGGTTTAGAGTAGGGATGCACGGTATACCGGTACTGCAAAAATACCGGTATATATTGTATTTCAAATGGTACAATATCATAATTTTGTTCAATTCGGTATTTGATGCGCTGCTGTTTCGAAGTTCACCACTAGGCAGGGCGCTACCTAAACTGACGCTTTGCGAAACCGGCAAACGGTGACAACAGAGGAACACGATGGATCAAACGAAGCTCATTCGAATTTCTACACGCCCGAAATTAATAAATAGAGAGAGCAGTAGGAGTGAAATAAGGCATTACTTTGCCAACAAAAGTAATGAGAAAAGTAAAGAAACAGATCTCAATGCACCACTCTGCAAACGGGGAGGCAACTGACTAAGCACTTGTCAGTTGCTCATCTTGACTTGTTCAGAGAGTTCAAAGATTGACAGGTTAGTCCATCATTCAACTAATTTAATTTAGACTTTTATTGAACACTGAACAGCGCACATACATAAGAGCTTATCAATTATATATGATACAGTAAACACGAAAGCTCAAATCTGCTTGCATGACACGCTAGAACCAATTCAGTTTAGGTCTCATCATTTTTGCACTTTCAAACAAACATATATTAATTGAATTTGAAAGAATAAAGAATAAAAATGTGAATAATATTAATTTTAGTATTAGTGATAGTAAAATGAATGGCATATTAGTGCCGCTGTGGCGACCCCTAGAGCAATAAGCCGAGAGAGGGAGAGAGTAATATTAGTAATATGAATATTACTAATATTACAATTAGGCTACATTTGTCAACATTCATTAGGTAACCTGACCTAACAGTAATATAGCATTTATTAATCTATATCAATCAGTAATTAAATGACCTAGAAAATTAAATTTACTAATACATGTTTTTAGCATGTTAACATTACTTTATGTAATGCATTAAACTAATATAACCCCAAACAGTAACCAAACCAAGATGAATAAATGCAATAAATGTTGATAATTCTCTGTTGATGCATGACAGCTAATGGTTTACATGTTATTTCATTATTTTATTTCATGTGAATCTATTATTATAGATGTTAACCTATTTTAATTGTATAATTTCAGTTTTTTTTTTTTAAATCAAAATTTAACCTACTGTATGTTCCCTGACCGATTTTTTTTTTTTACAATGATACATCTTCTTTGCACATTTGGTAGTGGAGAGTTTCAAGCAGTGTTTTTTAAGTGTCACTTAAATTTTGAGACTGTTTATTTTTTTAACCTGTGGTATCGATTTAGTATCGATACCGAGGTATTAGGTTCTGGTATCGTACCGAAGCCAAAATTGTGGTATCGAGCCATCCCTAGTTCAGAGTTAACTGGAAGGGACTTTAGTTAGGTGAGAGGGGCTTGTTAGGCCATAACTCCAGCTGGAGTAAAATACAGCAAATATTTAGACAGGACAAACACAAGCATTGTCTGAGAGGTGAAGTACCTGGGGTCAGGAACGCCTACAGTGTGGCGTCTCATGGACAAGTATCGGGCCATCGCCTCTGGACTAGGCTCTTCTCCCTCATCGCTGTCCAGAGCCATCGGCCCGTCCGTCTGAAACACACGACACACTGCGGATTAGATGATCCATCCTGATACTCATCAACAGTAAATCAGTGTACACTGCTTTATTCTTGCTGAATGTGACTGACGCTCACCTCAACGATCTGATTCTCTGGGTTTATGAGCTGGACCTGTGGTACCGTCATACTGACGGCGTTACTCAGATCCTGCGGGACCGACACACAATCACAGTGGAAGCATATCTTATCAAATAACCACATTTCCCCACAATTCCATTCCACAGCCGTTAAAGGGGACATATCCTGAAAATCTGCCTTTTTCCGTGTTTAAGTGATATAATCGGGTGCTTCTACCAACTCAGAAAATGTGACAAGTGAAACCCAGTAACTTTGTTTTGGTGAGCCTTTCTCTGCAAGCTTGTCAAAAAATAAGCCGATCAGATTTCACTCCCCTTCTGACGAATGAAGAGGATCTTATTATAATATTCCCGGCCCTTAATCTGCACGTTCACACACACCAGCGACATTGGGTTCGGCGAGCGCCAACAGAGACCAGTTCTAACGCACTGGAGAAGATCCAGCAAAGCCTGAAACTGTTCTGTGGTCGAGCACAGACGACACTGAACACTATTGACCAGAACATGTCAGCGCTGTCTTATAAACACCTCAGGAACTGTGGACACTTGTGGAAGAGTTCAACATGATGAGGAGATGATCAGTGTAACTCCACAACAACTACAGAAATGTCTCCGCTAACATTCAGAAACGTGTAAAAGTGAAGCTCTCCCTGAGTCTCTCCGTAAGGCTGCACTCGCTGCTGTTACTCCTGACTCTGGATCAGTGAGATCGGCCTGTGTTGTTATTGCCGGAGTCTCTGAAGCTCCGCCCTCTTCTGAACGGAGGCGGAGCTAAAGCTCATTTGCATTTAAAGGAACACGCACAAAAACGGTGCGTTTTTGCTCACACCCAAAAAGGGGCAAATTTGACAAGCTATAATAAATGATGTGTGGAATATTTTGAACTGAAATTTCACAGGCACATTCTGGGGACACCATAGATTTATATTACATCTTGTGAGGCATAATATGTCACCTTTAAAATCCTCATTAATTCTCCAGAAGAGTAGGACGCTCAGCTTTCATACAATATGCAAATAAGGCACCCTGAAGCTCATGCATATTCCCCTCATTAGGCATCAAAGGTTGCTAACGGCAATGGCACACACCTGCAGCGGGTAGAGGGGGCGGGGCGTGGGCGGAGCCATGCACAGGTTCTTGTGCCGCTTCAGCTTGTCAGACAGCAGACTGTAGGTGGCGCTGTAGTGATCATACGCATCCGTGTGCAGAGACTGCGATCGACACGCAATACAATCAATGTTTCAGAACACTTCATGTGAATGACAGAGACATGCCATGCCATGTGTGTGTGAGTGTGTGTGTGTGTGTGTCACCTGTAAGGTCCGCTCACGGTCGAAGCCCATATCTGACATGGCCATTAGCACTTGCTCGTTAATTAACTCTGTTTCTCTCTCCACCTTCACCTGCTCACATTCTGCTATCAGCTACAGACACACAGAGACATGAACAACGTTTCTACACATCGTAAGGCAAAACATTTAACACAGTTTGATCATCATGTGTGTGTGTGTGTGACTGACTCTGTCAAACTCCGGGTCCGGGTCTCCTTGTCTCATCCACTTGTTCTTGCAGATCTGCTCCATTGAAAGCCGTCGACTGGGTTCCAGAATCAACATGTGTCTGATCAGATACTCACAGTCTGAAACACACATACAGGTCTGTCAGTCGCGTGACGCGGCTCTAGTGTGTGTGTGAGTGAGTGAGTGTGTGTGAGTGAGTACCTGTGGACATGAAGAACGGGATCCGGAATTTCCCACTGAGGACTCGAGCGCGGAGGTTCTGTAAAGTGCTTCCATCGAACGGTAGCGCGCCACAAACCAGGACATACAGAACCACACCCAAACTCTACAGAGAGAGAGAGAGTGTGTGTGTGTATGGGTGTGTGAGAGAGAGAGAGAGAGAGAGAGAGAGAGAGAGAGAGAGAGAGAGAGAGAGAGAGAGAGAGAGTATGGGTGTGTGTGAGAGACAGAGAGAGAGAGAGAGAGAGAGGGAGAGAGAGAGAGTGTGTGTGTGAGAGAGAGAGAGAGAGAGAGAGAGAGAGAGAGAGAGGGAGGGAGAGAGAGAGAGTGTGTGTGTGTATGGGTGTGTGTGAGAGAGAGAGAGAGAGGGAGGGAGAAAGAGAGAGTGTGTGTGTGTGTATATGTGTGTGTGTGTGTGTGAGAGAGAGAGAGAGAGAGAGAGAGAACACGTTTACATCTGTCTCAGCTGATAAAGACATGATCGGAGTGTAACGCAGCACACTGAAAAGGATCAGGTATATATGGATCGGCAGACGGAGAAGCGTGATTCGTCACTCCAGAGAACACGTCTCCACTGCTCCACGAATGGACTCATTGCACAGGTGTAAACCGATTACGGTCCCACGCTTGAGTTCACTGAGCTCCTGAGAGCGACCCGTTCTTTCACAGGTGTGTGTAGAAGCGTCTGCATATCTAGTGCTTGATTTATACACCTGTGGCCATGGAAGTTACTGGAACACCTAAACTCAATGATTTGGAGGGGTGTCCCAATACTTTTGCGAATATAGTGTATGTAAATAAAATTACAGTTTGGACCAGTCTTGAAATAAAAAATTAGACTAACTTTTAAGAGCAGTCTAAGCTGTTTATGCAACAGACTCTATGTGTTAGTAAGGTCAGAGACAGACGCTGGTTTTACCCATATGTCCACTTTTGGTCCGTCGTACTCCTTTCCCTCGAAGAGTTCGGGCGCTGCATACGGAGGACTGCCACACCACGTCTTCAGCAGCTGTCCTCGAGAAAACAGATTACTGAAGCCGAAATCTGGAGGACAGAGAGACCGACAGGTCAAAAACACTCCAAAAACACAGACACACACTCACTGACTAAATGACTAATTGACTCACGCACTCACTCACTCGATTACTCTCTCGCTCGATTGCTCCGATCGCTCACTCACTCACTGACTCACTCACTGACTCACTCACTGACTCACTCACTGACTCACTCACTGACTCACTCACTGACTCACTCACTCACTGACTCACTGACTCACTCACACACTCACACACTCACTCACTCACTCACTCACTGACTCACTGACTCACTGACTCACTCACTCACTCACTCACTGACTCACTCACTGACTCACTCACTGACTCACTCACTGACTCACTCACTCACTCACTCACTCACTCACTCACTGACTCACTCACTGACTCACTCACTGACTCACTCACTGACTCACTCACTCACTGACTCACTCACTCACTCACTGACTCACTCACTGACTCACTGACTCACTCACTCACTCACTCACTCACTGACTCACTGACTCACTCACACACTCACACACTCACTCACTCACTCACTCACTGACTCACTGACTCACTGACTCACTCACTCACTCACACACTCACTGACTCACTGACTCACTCACTCACTCACTCACTGACTCACTCACTCACTCACTCACACTCACTCACTCACTCACTCACTCACTCACTCACTCACTCACTCACTCACTCACTGACTCACTCACTCACTGACTCACTCACTCACTCACTGACTCACTCACTGACTCACTGACTCACACACACTCACTCACTCACTCACTGACTCACTCACTGACTCACTCACTCACTCACTGACTCACTCATTCACTCACTGACTCATTCACTCACTCACTCACTGACTCGCTCACTCACTGACTGACTCACTGACTGACTCACTCACTGACTCACTCACTGACTCACTCACTGACTCACTCACTGACTCACTCACTGACTCACTCACTGACTCACTCACTGACTCACTCACTGACTCACTCACTGACTCACTCACTGACTCACTCACTGACTCACTCACTGACTCACTCACTGACTCACCTCATTCACTCACTGACTCACTGACTCACTCACTCACTCACTCACTGACTCGCTCACTCACTGACTCACTCACTGACTCACTCACTGACTCACTGACTCACTCACTCACTCACTCACTCACTCACTCACTCACTCACTCACTGACTCACTCACTCACTGACTCACTGACTCACTCACTGACTCACTCACTGACTCACTCACTGACTCACTCACTCACTCACTCACTCACTCACTCACTCACTGACTCACTGACTCACTCACTCACTGACTCACTCACTCACTGACTCACTCACTCACTCACTCCCTTGTAGAGACTTTAAGGATGAACCAAACACAAATTAACCTGTCAAACTCAGAAAAGAGGTATCCGCATTATTATTGTTGTATTTTTCATTGCAAACATAAGCAATAATATTGTTTACCTTTCTGGAAACAGATTTTTTTTTTTTCCCCATTGATAAGAAACATTTATGAGAAATTAATACTTCCCCTAGTTAATAATTTTCTTTTTGTTTTTCCCTCATTGAAATTGGTTAACTTTTCTCTCTTTTTCCCTTACTCAGTTGAGCGACGAAGTCCTCACATCACGAGTTGAAACCAGCTTTTCAGTGATAGGAAATATTTACAAAAATAATATTTTCCCCCTATAAAAAAAAAGCTTTTTCCATTTGAGATTTGTTTTAACCTTTTTCTTTTTCTTTACTTTACCCAGTTGAGTGACGAGATCTTCGCATCACTAGCCTCACTGTGTACACTTAGACCAACACTTAGTCATCACGACATTTCACTATTGATGTACAATTACCGAAACGACACTTAGCCGTTCAAACACATATAGGCTTATACACACAGATCTGTCTCTTCACCAAGCGTGCCAACATGTCGTGGACGACAAACCCCACTGCCCAACGGGAAGACGTGGACGCCTGGCTCAGAGGCATTACAGACTGCCTCACACCAAAGACAATTGAACTGTTATTATTTTTAATAATAATCATAATTCTGAGAAGATTCCTGACACACGATTCAAGCCAAAACCATGTGGAACTAACCAAAATAACCTGTTCCCTAAGCAATGCCTTCACAGCCCAGCTAAACCTAAGCCACCAGCATGTCACCTACCTTCAGGAGGAGCTGACACGTGCCCAAAGCCGCATAGACAAGCTTGAAGTGAAAGTCCAGGATGACTCCAAGACCACCGAGTTCCTGAGAGAGCTGATGCACACTCAACACTGCAAAGACCAGCTCAAAGGTGAAGCTCAAGACAAACTCAAAGTGTCAGACGAAGCGGAGCAAGAAACAAAGACACAAGTTGACAAGCTCCAAGAAGCCCTTGCAATCACTGAACGTGACAAAAAAGAGTTAAAGACTGTCCAGAAACACCTGGTAAACCAACTCCAGTCTGCTGAACATCAGTTAGAGAAAGCCAAAGCTGACATTGAAAGTAAGAACTCTAAAATCACTGCTCTGAAAGACCACCTGAAAAGGTGCAGCGCTGAAATGGACCATCTGACCCAACAGCGAGACGACGCCAACGATGAGCTCTAGGCGGTCAGAGATGAACTCCAGCACATTTTCCAACAGAAACCAGAGCCAAGAAGGGAGAGACCTCCCTCAGCATCACCCCTGCTGAGCAGAACAGAGTCCTCCATCCAAGAACTGGCATACAATGAAATAAGTGAATGGCCACAACCCAAAACGTCACCGGCCTTCACCACAGAACTCTTCCCTGCTAACAAACGAAGAGAGCCCATCCAGGCAGACTCCAAAGCTGCACATGGGATGACCTTTAAAGTTCTCAACCAGCTGGTTAAGAATATCACTCAGTTCAACCCGAACTCCACAGAGGGTCCCGACATCCAGGCCTACCTCCGAGATATCGACTTCCACCTAGAGGTGAGACCACATATGACTGACAGAGACAGGTTATACCTCCTCAGATCCACATCCAGTCCAGAGGTACGAAGCTTCCTAGACAGACAACCTGCTAATGTCATGTCAAACTACCAGCTACTACGTGAGACACTGATTAAAGAATTTACAGGTCCAGAGTCAGAACACGGTGTGTTAATCGCCTTGGAAACCAAACAATGTCGACAAGAGACTCCCCAAGCCTACTACCACCGCTTTCGACAAGCTTACTTAGGTGCACATAGCAAACCTGAACTTGAAGAGGATGTGAACTTCAAAACCCTCTTCCTGAGAAACCTGCACCCTGGATTGAGTCATCATCTTGGCATCATGGCCTGCCCAGGCACAATGACAATTCAGCAGCTACGTGACCTGACACACAAGGCCTACATCAAACAAAAGATGGCCTCAAAGAAAAGTTTGAAAACATCCACAGTGTTAAACTCCATCAGCCAAGACACAAGCCTTGCACTGGAAGACACCCAGTGGCATGACAACTCCACAGTCCTTCATAAGGAGCACAGAGGACGTTACTCCCATGCCGATGACAGCTACCACTCCAACCACATGGAAAAGTCATGGGACCCACCAGAAGGAAACAACTGGAATCAACGAGTGCATCCAAAAGCATTCTATGAGGGTAAGCGACAACGAAACCCACCTCCGCACCACTCAGCCAAACACCACACTGAGTGTGCCCAAGAACACGACAGTTTCCCCTCAGAAGACATGGAGCAACTACTGAGGCAACTGCAAGTGGTCATCAAAGACAAGCTGAACACAGAAGACCAGTGATCACCTTGTACACCTTCCTGAGACGACCACCTGTTCTACAACAACCCAGAACAAAGTGGTCTCTCACAGTCAACCACTGACAAACACCCAGAGGTAGCAGAAAACACCATCCTGGTTACCGATCACACCACAAGCTCCAAACTCAAGAACCACGTGTGTGCTACAGCAACGACAGTAAGCACAGAAGGTCAGAAAGTCTGTCACAACCAGAAGGCATCACAAGAGGAAGGCAACAAAGGAGACCACGTTTTGCACTACAGCTTTACGCATCCATGCCAAACCACCTCCCAATGTCTGCCAGAGAACTTCCTGCCTTACTGGACTGACCCCCAGCAGATCACCGAAGATCCCTTTCCAAGGCAAAGACGCAACAAGCACATCAAAGCTAAGCCATCAAGCAAAGGGGGGAGCAAAACAGACTGAGACAGATCTGACATACATGCAGTACATGCACTACACTACACTGTACCACTAACATACACAAGTTAAACACAGCTACCGTGAAAAACATTCAACAAACATGTTCTTCCCACAGGTAGACACGGAAATCGCAACACTGACTTAGCTATCCTTTCCATAGGAAACATGTAGCAATACACCCAACAAGTATAACCCTCTCATTACATTGTGACACCTGACACTGCACAACAGTAGCCATACAGGAGTCACTCAACTGCTTGGTTTTGTTTTACCTCTTCCTTTTCTTCTTCCTTTATTAGGTAAAATCCCTGTTACCCCGTAAGGGTCAAGGTTACCATATAAGGATTGACGCACCACGCCTGACGAATGTTAGCCTAGAGAACTCCCTGCATCATTCGAATCAAAATGTGAAAGGTAATTTGGTCTAAACCTAGAACAATTTAGAAGAGAATAAAACAAACAAATCAAAATTTAGTCACAAAGTTGATCAATCACCGTTTTAAAACAAACTAGAATAACGGTCCTAAAATTGAACTAAACTTTTTCCACATGATTGACTACATTGAGAGAGTGAACCTGTTTTAGGCCTAGATAATCTAATGCCCTGCACCAGTAAAGTGACCAGTCTTGGAGGTGGTTGCCGTGTTGTTTGCTGTGTGTGTTTGCTTTTTCTGTTTCTCCAGCGTTCAATGATGTCTTCTTCTCAACCCATCATCGATCGAAGGGGGGAATATGTAGAGACTTTAAGGATGAACCAAACACAAATGAATCTTTCTAATCTCTCATGGGATTCATTCAAATGTGATTCAGCATTTCGGATCTGAATACCACATTCCAAAGTCACAAGACTGGCTCCAAATTGTCTAGAAAACCCCCCAGAGAAGACTTTTATGGCTCCAGAGATAAGCCTAAACAGGAAGAACGTGTCACTGTTTTCATCCTTAAGCCAGACAAAGCTGCTCAAAAAGGGTGAAACGAGGCCTGACCACCAAGGGGCCTGACAACCTTTGACCTCCCTCAGCATCACCACTGCTGAGCAGGACAGCGATGTAAAACAGACCACGCTTTCATGGAACGTGAGAGACTTACACAGACTTTACATATCAAACCCATTAAAACTCACGCAGAACAATGCTCAGTGGACTTAATCAAACATCATAATTCTTGTTGTTCCTACAATTCATGTTTGTATTATGCTTAGATCACATATAAATCATGTAATTGTGATATAACTGTGTGTATGGATGAAAGGGTATCGTGCTTCCAATCAAAAGAATCGTATGCCCTTAATTCAAAAGGTGGCTTGTTTGAAATCTGTGTAAAATGTTTTGTATGATTATAATAATCTATAATGTTTAAACTGGGGTCTCTTGTTTCTCTGCTAAGTGCTGGAACCCAAGCAGATCCCAGATAACGATAACTAGGAACTCGATCCACCTCCCAAAATGATGCCATTGTCTCATTGGTCAGAATTCTCCAAAAGAGGTTGGACTAACTTTTAAGTTAAAGACCCGAACAAAGGAGTTAGAGTGAGTTGAAAAAGAAATTCGGTTCAGAGAGCAGTTCGGGGTTGCCGTTCGGTTTTGAGTTCGGCTCGTGTTGAATTAAGTTTTGCGCCTCTCTCTAGCAACAGCAAGAGAGTGTTCCTGTTCGTGCTTCTCTCTGAAAACACCAAAGAGCGTGTTCGCACGCTTCTACATCGACCAGACCAAATTAGACCAGCAGACAAATAACCCATCAAGATCGGGGTTGAAACAGCTCATTCAAGCCATCTAACTCGTCTTACTTTCATTTCTTCCTTTATTTTCTTTTTTCATAAAAGTCTCGGTTCAACGTCTAGTTGCTGCGAAGTTCGTTTAAACGTCTCTCCTGCAACGCGCTTCGAACTGTAAAGACTCTTATTCGCCTGCCAATCACACGTGACCGGCTGTTCAGAAACTTCCATCCAGGCACTTCAAAGACAACCAGCCACACGGACCCGGTCGGGAAACCCCTTCGACGAAGCACCGCAAAAAGGGAACTCCCTAAGCAACGCAAAGACGAGCAAGTAGCAGCTACTCCAGACTCTTAACTGAACTGGTGCAAATGTAAATTGAATAACCTGTCTAAGAAACGAAGGTTTAAATTAATGCTTGGTGGTTCGTTCAGGTCATGTCTTACAAAGTGCATCTCACTCTGAAAACTCTCTCTCTCTCTCTCTCTCTCTCTTCCTCTGCGCCGTGTATGAATTCGTGTGTGTGATTGTGTTTAGACCTTAGTTTTATGTGTTTAGAATAGTTAATAAAGTCGTCAATATATTTGAAAAGATATTTGCCTTGTGTTGTGCTTGCACATTTAATGTCTTGTACTGTCGATCTAAAGTTACCTTGCTAATACATAGTGTTTCACTATAGATTGGATATTCATATCTGTTGCCAAGGTTATAATTACGGCCCGTTCAAATGAACTCTAAACGAGTCATTTGCTCGGTTCCATAGTGATTCGGTCAAGATTCATTGCAAATCGATGAATCATTCCTTTTGAGCTAAATTGGCCTTCCGGCCCCCCTTAAATACATTTTATGTATATTATTATTGTGTGATTCGTTACACCCTCACTCACTCACTGACTCACTGACTCACTCACTGACTCACTCACTCACTCACTCACTCACTGACTCACTCACTGACTCACTCACTCACTCACACACTCACTCACTCACTCACTCACTCACTCACTCACTCACTCACTCACTCACTCACACACTCACTCACTCACTCACTCACTCACTGACTGACTCACTCACTCACACACTCACACACTCACTCACTCACTGACTCACTGACTCACTCACTCACTCACACACTCACACACTCACTCACACAAACACACACACACACTCACACACTCACACAAACACACACACACACACACACACACACACACACACTCACTCACTCACTCACTCACTCACTCACTCACTCACTGACTCACTCACTGACTCACTCACACACTCACTCACTCACTCACTCACTCACTCACTCACTCACTCACTCACTCACTCACTGACTGACTCACTCACTCACTCACACACTCACTCACTCACTCACTGACTGACTCACTCACTGACTCACTCACTGACTCACTCACTGACTCACTGACTCACTCCCTCACTCACTGACTCACTGACTCACTCCCTCACTCCCTCACTCACTCACTCACTCACTCACTCACTCACTCACACACTCACTCACTCACTCACTCACTCACTCACTCACTCACTGACTCACTGACTCACTGACTCACTGACTCACTCACTGACTCACTCACTCACTCACTGACTCACTCACTGACTCACTCACTGACTCACTCACTCACTGACTCACTCACTCACTGACTCACTCACTCACTCACTCACTGACTCACTGACTCACTGACTCACTCCCTCACTCACTCACTCACTCACTCACTCACTGACTCACTGACTCACTGACTCACTCACTCACTCACTCACTCACTCACTCACTCACTCACTCACTCACTCACTCACTCACTCACTCACTGACTCACTCACTGACTCACTCACTGACTCACTCACTCACTGACTCACTCACTCACTGACTCACTCACTCACTCACTCACTCACTCACTGACTCACTGACTCACTGACTCACTCCCTCACTCACTCACTCACTGACTCACTGACTCACTGACTCACTCACTCACTGACTCACTCACTCACTGACTCACTCACTCACTCACTCACTCACTCACTCACTCACTCACTCACTCACACACTCACTCACTCACTCACTCACTCACTCACTCACTCACTGACTCACTGACTCACTCACTGACTCACTCACTCACTCACTCACTGACTCACTCACTGACTCACTCACTGACTCACTCACTCACTGACTCACTCACTCACTGACTCACTCACTCACTCACTCACTGACTCACTCACTCACTGACTCACTGACTCACTCACTCACTCACTGACTCACTGACTCACTGACTCACTGACTCACTGACTCACTGACTCACTCACTGACTCACTCACTCACTCACTCACTCACTCACTCACTCACTCACTCACTCACTCACTCACTGACTCAGTCACTGACTCACTCACTCACTCACTCACTCACTCACTCACTGACTCACTCACTCACTCACTCACTCACTCACTCACACACTCACTCACTCACTCACTCACTCACTCACTCACTCACTGACTCACTCACTGACTCACTGACTCACTGACTCACTCACTCACTCACTCACTCACTGACTCACTGACTCACTGACTCACTGACTCACTGACTCACTCACTCACTCACTGACTCACTGACTCACTGACTCACTCACTCACTCACTCACTGACTCACTCACTCACTCACTCACTCACTCACTCACTCACTCACTCACTCACTCACTCACTCACTCACTCACTCACTCACTCACTCACTGACTCACTCACTGACTCACTGACTCACTCACTGACTCACTGACTCACCTGCGATCTTGATGTTCAGGTTGTGGTCGAGCAGCAGGTTCTCTGCCTTCAGGTCTCTGTGGACGATGTTCCTGCAATGGCAGAAGTAAACCGCGGCTACGATCTGCTTGAACTTCCGCCGCGCGTCTTTCTCCGCCATGCGCCCGTGAGCCACCAGATGATCTGAGGAACACAGAACACAAACTAGCGCTTGCTCTGTCGTGAAGTGTGCATCATTGATTCTAATATTTAATAATAACATAAAAGGCCTTTAATGTCGCTTGTTGCGCCAGTGCTGTCAAACAAACTAAAACCGAAAGCGCGATAAGCAAAGGACTCTCACGCGATCGGCATTCAGGAACTACAACCTCACGTGTCGGTCAGCAATGACCGAAATTTTTTATTTTATTTCAATGAAATGGAATTATTTTGAATTATTTTTTATTTTTAGGGATTTTATGGTACTTAATTATGTTTACGCTGTATTTATAATCCATTTATTCACTTTTTGAGCATGGGTTAGCTAACCCTGACCTGATAATTACATGTCCAGCTGAAACTGTGGAGAATCTGGAACGCTTTAGAGCGACAGACTGAAGTTTGATCTCTTCTCAAACACGACACTTGCAGATTATTGCTGAAGAGAAATGAACAAAATACTATTTAAAAATTTTATATGAAATATATATTTTCCAAAACACATTTCACTCTAAAACTGCACTAAAATCTCAGCCGTAACTCTCCCCCAGTGTGTTCCTCATGTGAGTCTGATCTCTCAGTAAACGAGCGTTCAGGGAGAGTGTGTTCGGCTGCAGTTCCACACGCTTCCACTAGAGGAAACTCTACATTCATTTCCACTGCGTCATTTCTGACCGCGAGAAACACAAGTGTGACTGTTGTTATCAGCACCATTAAACCTGTTCAGATCATGGCCAGGAGTTATTTGTGTTCACACAGCAAGTGCCAAAACCTTTACCAAGTTTCGTACCATTAAAAAAAATATATATATATATACAATTTTTCGGTGAAAATGACCGAAGAGCGCCAGAGGGTTAAGTTTGCAGGGAACTACACTAACATTTTCCACTGGTGGCACTTGCGCTACTAACTTTTTCAGTTACTAGCGCAAAACATGATTTGGTCGCACAAATTATTTATATAGTAAGCCGCTCTGGATAATAATGACCAATAGTGAAACTGTATTGCATACAGATGTGCTTTTTATTTTACTCTCCATCTTTTAAAACACATGCCTTCTTGTTTTCTTTAAAAATGGTTGGGATAGATTTACTGCAATAGAAAATACACAATAAAGTGCTAAATTAATTTCTTTTGGATTTCACCATGCTATGGTTGGCACAGATGGGCAGACTTCTGAACTCTTAAGGAAAAGTAAAATAAATATAATATGTCATTGTGAAGCTTCAATGATTCGTGTTTGAATTGTTTTGACGCAGTTACAAATTTGGACAGTCCTGCAATTGAAGGCCCACAGAATTTACAGTAGGGCTGCACGATATTGGTAAAAAAATGACATTGCGATATTTGATTTTTCTGCGATATATATTGCGATATAAAAACAATTTCACCAGATGACTTGAATAGCTCTACTTGGAAAGAATGAATCATTCTAGAATGACTCTTGAGTTCAGTGTTGGACAGATCAGTTGTTATTTTAACCATTCATTAAAGTGAATCGGTTCAAAGGAGTCAGTTCGCGAATCGGACGTGTCATTAACGGACCACGGCACACGTTGTGTGATTATCCAGGCAGTTTAGGACATCGCACAAGATTTGTCTCAACACAGAAAACATTTCATCACCAGATAGATTTTTTGTTTTGTTTATTGAAAGAGTGGTTTATGCCATCTGAATGTGTGGAAAGCTTTTCAGAGAAGATGAGGCAACGTTATTTTAGCACAATTCACAACCAGTGGTAGTTCAGAAAAAAAAAAAATTCGGTCTTCCGACCTTTTACCATCGTGTATTCTCAAAGATATTCAGTCAACTCAATTCATTATTGTGAGCGAGGGAGGGAGAGAGAGCGCGCGCGCGACTGGGGCTTTCACTCTCTCTGCTCGTTCTCTCAGTTAAACAAGCGCGAATCCGCGAAGCCAACTTGATGTGTTGAATGCTCAGAGCGCGTTATAAAACGTATTCTTAAAATACACATTTCTGTTTTAATAAATGCTCATAGTAAATCATAGCATATTGCCTAAAACATTAGGTAGGTACAAAAATAATCAAACGGTGATACATTTGCGACCCATTAAAAATTAGGGTCGCAATGGCATTTCAAAAGGTCGCAGTGTAGTTCCCTGAGTTTGTAAAGGTAATTTTTACGTCTATGCTCAAATAGGGGGGTGAAAGTTCATGACGCATTACAGAACAAATCAATGAATGGATCTGATCAATTTGATTTTCTCAACAGATTCAAAAGATTCGAATCACTGCAAAGAATCAAATGATTGATTCACTCACCGAAGATCTCTCCTCCACTGGCGTACTCCGTCACCAGATAGATCAATCGCTCCGTCTCCATCACCTGATAAAACACACACACACACTGAGCACCAGTCGCATTCAACCATACACAAACCAACAGAAGTCTTAACCAATCAGCTGCGAGCATGAGGAGGGAGGCGGGACCTGGTAGAGGCGAGGACAGAGTGTTTGTGTGTGTGTGTGTGTGTGAGAGACCTGGTAGAGGCGGATGATGTGAGGGTGTGTGTGTGTGTGTGTGTGTGTGTTTGTGTGTGTGTGTGTGAGAGAGACCTGGTAGAGGCGGATGATGTGAGGGTGTGTGTGTGTGTGTGTGTGTGTGTGTGTGTGTGTTTGTGTGTGTGTGTGTGAGAGAGACCTGGTAGAGGCGGATGATGTGAGGGTGTGTGTGTGTGTGTGTGTGTGTGTGTGTGTGTGTGTGTGTGTGTGTGTGTGTGTGTGAGAGACCTGGTAGAGGCGGATGATGTGAGGGTGTGTGTGTGTGTGTGTGTGTGTGTGTGTGTGTTTGTGTGTGTGTGTGTGAGAGAGACCTGGTAGAGGCGGATGATGTGAGGGTGTGTGTGTGTGTGTGTGTGTGTGTGTGTGTGTGTGTGTGTGTGTGAGAGACCTGGTAGAGGCGGATGATGTGAGGGTGTGTGTGTGTGTGTGTGTGTGTGTGTGTGTGTGTGTGTGTGTGTGTGTGTGTGTGTGTGTGTGTGTGTGTGTGTGTGTGTGAGAGACCTGGTAGAGGCGGATGATGTGAGGGTGTGTGTGTGTGTGTGTGTGTGTGTGTGTGTGTGTGTGTGTGTGTGTGTGTGTGAGAGACCTGGTAGAGGCGGATGATGTGAGGGTGTGTGTGTGTGTGTGTGTGTGTGTGTGTGTGTGTGTGAGAGAGACCTGGTAGAGGCGGATGATGTGAGGGTGTGTGTGTGTGTGTGTGTGTGTGTGTGTGTGTGTGTGTGTGTGTGTGTGTGTGTGTGTGTGTGTGTGTGTGTGTGTGTGAGAGAGACCTGGTAGAGGCGGATGATGTGAGGGTGTGTGTGTGTGTGTGTGTGTGTGTGTGTGTGTGTGTGTGTGTGTGTGTGTGTGTGAGAGACCTGGTAGAGGCGGATGATGTGAGGGTGTGTGTGTGTGTGTGTGTGTGTGTGTGTGTGTGTGTGTGTGTGTGTGTGTGTGTGTGTGTGTGTGTGTGTGTGAGAGAGACCTGGTAGAGGCGGATGATGTGAGGGTGTGTGTGTGTGTGTGTGTGTGTGTGTGTGTGTGTGTGAGAGACCTGGTAGAGGCGGATGATGTGAGGGTGTCTCAGCATCTTCATGATCTGAACTTCTCGAAAGATCTTCTTCAGGTTCTCATCGTCCAGCTGAGTCTTGTCAACAATCTTTATCGCAACCTAGAACACACACACACACACACACAGACACACAGACACACACACACACACAAGCAGCTTTAGTGTCAGCATCATCTCAAACTTTGGCATTAGCATAAAGACAGGCCGTTTACGGTTGCCAAGCGACATGATGATCAAAGATGAATAAATGAGTGGCGGCGCATGATTAATATGAGCTGATGTGCAGAGACACGTGCGTGAACAACGGAAGACAAACACTATTCAATAAGAAATAAGTAAATTTCAAAAACAATTACAAAAAAATGGCAAGTAACATTGAATTAGACATGACATTTTGAAGTAGAAAAACTGTATTAATAATATATTATAATAAAATAGTATTTTACTCAAACACACTCTCTCTCACACACACACACAGACACTCTCTCTCACACACACACTCTCACTCACTCACTCACTCACTCACACACTCTCTCTCTATCTCTCTCACTCACTCACTCAAACACACACACACTCTCACTCACTCACTCACTCACTCACTCACTCACTCACTCACACACTCACTCACACACTCACTCACACACTCTCTCTCTATCTCTCTCACTCACTCACTCAAACACACACACACTCTCACTCACTCACTCACACACTCACTCACTCACACACACACACACACCCTCACTCACTCACTCACACACACACACACTGTTATCATTTATTAATACATCATGTTAGCACACTGCTGTTCAAACGTTTCAGGTTGTTTATTTTTCTTTTAAATTAATAGGCCGACCACAGGTGACAGTAAAGTTATTTATAACGTTACAAGAGATTCTATTTCACATAAATGTTGTTCTTTGAACATTCCATTCATCAAATAATCCTGAAAAACTAAATATATCAGTTTCCACAGAAATCTAAAGCAGCTCAAATGTTTTCAACACTGATAATAATAATAAATGTGTCTTGAGCATCAGATCCTCATATTAGAGTGATTTCTGAAGGATCATGTGACACTGAAGACTGGAGTAATGATGCTGAAAATACAGCTTTGATCACAGGAATAAATTACACTTTACTGTATATTCACATAGAAAACAGCTGATTTACACTGGAGTAATATTACACTGTTTTTTTAACCAAATAATTGCAGGCTTGGCGTAGTCGGCGAGACTTCTGTCAGAATCATCTCCCCGATCTCAGACGCGAGCGCGTCAGTGTTAGTTATGATGCATTACTGCTCTAACTGTAATAATGAGAATAATCTGCATTATGAATCATGAGAATCACACACACACAAGCGTCTGGATGCATTACAGTAACGAGACGGAGATTGTTCTGCATCACGATAATGAGATATTGGAGGAAAATTCGTAAGAGTAATTGAATATAATTTCATATTTTCCCACAGAAATATGAGCAGCTCATATTCACAATGATAAAAAGAGCTCGACCGACGAGAGAGAATCAAGAATCATGACGACAGCACAAACTATAGCTGAGCATCATACACACAAACAGCTGAGCAAGCATGACATCATCACACTCGCACACACACACACCTGCTCTCTGACATCAGAGAGAGAGAGAGAGAGTGCGTGTGTGTGTGAGAGAGAGAGAGAGAGAGAGAGAGTGTGTGTGTGTGTGATAGAGAGATAGAGTGTGTGTGTGTGTGTGTGTGTGAGAGAAAAAAGACAGGCATTCAGATGAGAGCAAGTCTTAGCATGTTAATTGGCTTATGAAGCTGAGCGCCTGAACATGTCTCTCTCACACACACACACACACACACACACAGACTGTTAGACGTGATGGACAACTATCAGAACAAAGTCTGATGCTTATCTAAAGACATGCTAAACCAGGTCACTTCTGGTGTGTGTGTGTGTGTGTGTGTGTGTCATGTAGGGCAGGTCGAACTGAAATCACATCTAAGATCTGTGAACTGGCACTGACACAAACTCATCATTCAAGCTGATTTACTTCCACAAGCTTCACACACACTCATGCTTCTGTGTGAACTGCAGTCGCTACAGTTATTAACTATTACAGGTTATGATTGATTACTATATTATTACAGGTTAAACTTATCATCTGATTTGTGTAGAAACATGTACATTGCACATTCAGCAGTTTTTAATGTCAAATTTTCAATGATATAATTATGTTTTGTTTCTACTCAAATCGTTTGTGTTGTTGTTGAAAAATATACATTTAAATATTAGCTTTCATTAAGACTTGTTTTCATGACGGATTTACTCAAACTTGCAATAAATACCGAAGAACATGTGAAGTGAAAATATAATGCGTGTATACAGTAGTCAACATCTGAAGTGCATCAGAACCTTTCATCACAGTTATGCCTGAACTTTGAACCCGTTCTCAGGACGAACTCTGATGAGCTTATGTGATCTCCTCAGCTGTGGACTACTGTACTACTGTACTTCAAGCTCAAGCTTATTCATTAGTCATACACACATGCAATACAGTTCAGTACAGTCTGGTGTGTGTTGTGTTCAAATTTAACATTTAATGTAATCCATCCATCCATCTTCTTCCGCTTATCCAGGGCCGGGTCGCGGGGGCATTAGTCTAAGCAGAGACGCCCAGCCTTCCCTCTCCCCAGACACTTCCTCCAGCTCTTCCGGGGGGACACCGAGGCGTTCCCAGGCCAGCCGGGAGACATAATCCCTCCAGCGTGTCCTAGGTCTTCCCCGGGGTCCTCTCCCAGTGGGACGTGCCCGGAACAACTTCCCGGGAAGGCATCCAGGAGGCATCCGGAACAGATCCCCGAGCCACCTCAGCTGACCCTCTCGATGTGGAGGAGCAGCGGCTCTACGGTGAGCTCCTCCCGAGTGACCGAGCTTCTCACCCTATCTCTAAGGCAGGGGTGCCCAACCCTGCTCCTGCCGATCGACTGTCCTCCACAGTTTATCTCCAACCCATTTAAACACACCTGCCTTTAATTTTCAAGTGAGCCTGAAGACCTTAATTGGTTGCTTCAGCTGTGTTTGATTAGGGTTGGAGATGAACTGTGCAGGGCAGTGGGCCTCCAGGAGCAGGGTTGGGCACACCTGCTCTAAGGGATCGCCCAGCCACCCTGCGGAGAAAGCTCATTTCGGCCGCCTGTATCCGAGATCTTGTCCTTTCGGTCATGACCCACAGCTCATGACCATAGGTGAGAGTAGGAACGTAGACTGATCGGTAAATCGAGAGCTTCGCCTTGCAGCTCAGCTCCTTCTTCACCACAACAGACCGGTACATCGACCGCATTACTGCAGAAGCTGCACCGATCCGTCTGTCAATCTCCCGTTCCATCCTTCCCTCACTCGTGAAAAAGACCCCAAGATACTTAAACTCCTCCACTTGAGGCAGGAACTCTCCACCAACCTGAAGTGGGCAAGCCACCCTTTTCCGACTGAGGACCATGGCCTCGGATTTGGAGGTGCTGATTCTCATCCCAGCCGCTTCACACTCGGCTGCAAACCGTCCCAGTGCATGCTGAAGGTCCTGGTGTGAGGGGGCCAACACGACAACATCATCCGCAATACAAATTATGAACAGAACCGGCGACAAAGGGCAGCCCAGCCGGAGTCCAACATGCACCGGGAACAAGTCTGACTTACTGATGGCAATGCGAACCAAGCTCCTGCTTTGGTCGTACAGGGACCAGACAGCCCTTAGCAAAGGGCCCCGGACCCCACACTCCCGGAACACCCCCCACAGGCCGCCGCGAGGGACACAGTCGAATGCCTTCTCCAATGGATTGCTTGGGCAAACTCCCATGAACCCTCCAGCACCCTGTAGAGGGTATAGAGCGGGTCCAGTGTTCCACGGCCGGGACGAAACCCGCACTGTTCCTCCTGAATCCGAGGTTCCACTATCGGCCGTATTCTCCTCTCCTGGCATAGGCTTTCCCAGGGAGGCTGAGAAGTGTGATCCCCCTGTAGTTGGAACACACCCTCCGGTCCCCCTTCCTAAAAAGAGGGACCACCACCCCGGTCTGCCATCCCAGAGGCACTGTCCCCGACCGCCACGCGATGCTCCAGAGGCGTGTCAGCCGAGACAGCCCCACAACATCCAGAGACTTGAGGTCCTCAGGGCGGATCTTGCCACCGAGGAGCTTCTTGACTACCTCGGTGACCTCAGCTAGGGTGATGGACGAGTCCACCTCTGAGCCCTCAGCCTCTGCTTCCTCAATAGAAGACGTGACGGCGGGATTGTGGAGATCCTCGAAGTATTCCTTCCACCGTCCGACGACATCCCCAGTTGAGGTCAACAGCTGCCCAGCTCCACTGTAGACAGCGTTGGTAGGGCACTGCTTCCCTCTCCTGAGGCGCCGGACAGTTTGCCAGAATCTCTTCGAGGCCAGCAGACACTCCTTCTCCATGGCCTCACCAAACTCCTCCCAGGCCCGAGTGTTTGCCTCCACACCCACCCGGGCTGCAGTCCGCTTGGCCTGCCGGTACCGTCAGCTGCCTCGGGAGTCCCACAACCCAGCCAGGCCCGATAGGACTCCTCCTTCAGCTTGACGGCATCCTTTACTTCTGTAAATTTCCATTTAATCTAATATTCTACAATATGATTGATCCATTACATGAGAACTGAACTGAGCTGGACGATGACATCACGCTTTTCTCCAGAAGGGCTATATATGAACTAAATTAATAAATTTAAAGTTGACAATTTATAGAGGGGAAAAATTTTGATAATTTACAGTAAAGTATATAAATATGCAAAACAAATATAGGCCTATGTTTGGTGAATGTGACGTTATTGTTCTCATATTCATGCGTTTTGAAACACTGATTGATGGATTATATGAGACATGATTCATTTCAACATTCCTTCTGATGTTCATCATGTGTATTTGCTGCTGTAACTAGTAGTTCATCCGTCACACACACATTACACACACACGACTACACACACATTACACACACACTACACACACATTACACACACATTACACACACACTACACACACATTACTTACACACACACACACATTAAATTACATTCTAAACCTAAAATCAACTGATGACTTACTATTTTAAAGCAGAAATTAAATCGACTAAATGAAAATTGATAATAAACAAAAACAAAAGGACAAATGTTGTCTTGTATAAGGGAAGAACACACACACACACTCGCCTGAACGTGTAATATTACACTAATGAGCTA